AGAACAACTGTGCACCACATGCTCCATCTCCTGGTCTCAAGTCCTGCCGCCTTGCATCCATCTGCCCTGCATGCTGTGGAGGGAAGGGTCTAAAATACAAACATGATGGTGCTCCCCTGCCTCATAGCTTTGAACTGCTGCCCATTCTTCCCAGGATAAAGGCTCTCCTCCTTAATTCTGTTGCCTTTCCCAGGTCAGCTCCTCTTGCTTTTCCTTCCTGCCCTCTGCTGTTTTCACTAAACTTCTTTCTGTTAGTCCAAACACTAGGGTCTCTCTGAATGCCAGGCCTCCTGGTGGGCTATTCCCTCTGCCTGGAACACTCTTCCCTTATGTGTTTGGTAAACTTCTGCTCAGACTTCATTATTAGTTCAGAAGTTCCAAGTCACAATTAGGATGTCCACCTGAAACCAAGACCCTCTAAACCAAGTTCATGATTAATATCTCTATCCAAAACTCTATTCCCTTTCTCATCATCTCGGACCTCTGTCCTGTGCTAACTGAACACTAGTAAGCCAAAGTCAGATGATTGAAATTGCTGTTGATAACATTGTTAATGTACTAAAGTTGCTATTAGAGATATCATCATTAACATATAAACTCATGTTGCTTCTCCAGGGCAAGTTGAGCTAACAGACGTCCCCCTCCCCCAACTATGGGACCATCTGGTTGAAGAATCATAGAGATACCTTGGCTCCTGAAACAACAATTAATGAATGTCACATTAATCCCAGCCTCTTCATTCTTCCTCTTTAAAAACCCTAACTCAGAGACTAAGGTGAAGTAGATCTGAGGCTTGTCTCCCACTCCCTTGCTTAGAACCTGCAATAAATGCTGTATTTTCCTTCACCAAGTGAACAACAACAAAAAAATTCTTGCCCACCATCAAGCCATCAGCCACTGCAGCTGCCCCCCATGTGTACCCTGAGGGGCATTCAGGATGGAGAGAAACAAGATACTGGCCCTAGATAATTAAGATGCATGTCAAAGGTCAATGAGCCCAGACTCTTGCACCTTCCCACACACTAAAATCATTAACTTGAGATGTCTGTTTTTTGTGACTAGCAGTTATCTTCTGATGTTTGACTACATTGTTTTGCAGCAAAAACTCCTATGTATCCTGGCTCCTAATGGCAGAAAGTGAAAGGAACTAAAGAGCCTCTTGATGAGGGTGAAAGAGGAGAGTGAAAAAGCTGGCTTTAAAACTCAACATTCAGAAAACTAAGATCATGGCATCCGGTCCCATCATTTCATGGCAAACAGATGGGGAAACAATGGAAACAGTGGCAGATTTTATTTTCTTGGGCTCCAAAATCACTGTAGCAGTGACACTTACCCCTTGGGAAAAAAGCTATGACAAATCTAGACAGCATTCTAAAAAGCAGAGACATAACTTGGCTGACAAAAGCCTGTATAGTCAAAACTATGGTTTTTCTAGTAGTCATGTATGGTTGTGAGAGTTGTGATGTAGGAGATAAGATAGGCTCCAGGTTAGATATTTACAGCTGGCCTCCTGTTTGCATGTCATGGGGCACAAAGAAGTAGACTTCAGGCTGGGTAGTTAGAACTGTTAGCATTTTCTGAGACAAGAGACGGCTGGACTCCAGTTAAGACATTTACAATCAGACTTCTGTTTGCCCTCTGAAATGCAAGTAACAATATAAACAGGGTAAATAGCCAGTGTTTTTCTCTTGTAAGCACCTTAAGGTAACAGTCATGGCAAGGACGAAGAGGAGCAAAACCCTGTTTCAGTAAAGGATTAAAGGGTCTCCCTCCCCCCTCTTTTGGGACGAAGGAGACACTACACATGTGCAGAAAGGCTCTTTGTGGGCCAAGAGGCAGAGGATAACACCAGGCCATAATGAGTCTTGCTCCTCCCAGAAGCCTTCACTTCAAGATCCATCTTGACTGAGGGGTGCGTGTGCATCCAGGGGAGGGTCCCAAGGTAGGTCAGGTGAGGAAAAAGAAACCACATAATTGGCCTGAATGGAAAAAGACCCGGAAGAGCTGAGCTATCTAACCTCTTTACAGAATCCCTCCTCACTAGGGAGGACACCCACACCCTTTCTCTCTGGGTGTGCATCTCTGCCTGTCTTCTGTTTTAACTAAACAAACCATTTCTCCCTGTGCTGTCCCACTTGCTGTTATGCTATATCTCTAATAATAGACTTTGTATCTGTATTTATAGTTCTTGCCTCTGTGATAAGTGCATTTTTCACTGGGGGCAAAGATCCAGGGAAAAATAGCTTCTAGGCTCTAGCCCTTGCTGGTCTGGTGGCTAGGATTCCTGGTTCTCATCCAGGCCACTCGTGTTCAATTCCTGGGCAGGGAATTAAGAGCTCACTTCACGCCATACTGACTGCTGCCTCGCTAAGATCAGCTGGATCATAAAGAAGGCTGAGCACTGAAAAATTGATACTTTTGAATTGTGGTGCTGGAGAAGACTGTTGAGTCTCCCTCAAACAGCAAGAAGATCAAACCAGTCAGTCCCAAAGGAGATCAACCCTGAATATTTATTGTAAGGACTGATGCTGAAGCTGAAGCTCCAATACTTTGGCCACCTGATGTGAAAAGCTGACTTACTGGAAAAGATCCTGATGCTGGGAATGATTAAAGGCAAAAGGAGAAGGGGGCAGCAGAGGATGAGGTGGTTAGATAGCATTACCAACTCAATGGACATGAATTTGAGCAAACTTGTGGATTGCTGCAATCCATGGGGTTGCAAAGAGTTGGACACGACTTAGCAACTGAACAGAACATCCTGGCTTTACCCTTATCTCTTTGGAACGATTCCTCAGAGCTGTCTGAGAGGTTGTATACTGGTCTACAGCACTCAGTAATGTCCCCGAATAAAACATAATTCTCAACCCTTTAGGTTGTGCTTTTTTCCAGCAACCGCAGCTCCTCAGTAAATCAGCTGTGCTCCACCTCAGCAAGTGGAGTTCAGCTCCCTAATCTCTCCTCCAGAAGCCTTGTCGGACACAATCCCCTCCAAGTCTCCAGCCTCACAGTATTCACCTCCACCCCACCACTTACCAGTCCCCCTATTACTGAAATGTATGTGTGCGGGGTCTGGCTTCTCGCCAGTCAGAAGCCAATAAACAGGCCAGGTTGGTGGAAAGGAAAGTTTATTTCAGATGCCGGCAACTGGGGAGGGGGGAGGGGAGAGGACATAAGTCCAAAGGCCAACTCCCCACCTCCCCTTCCCGTCCACCATAAGCAGGAGGTGAGAGCATTTATAGACAAAGTGAGGAGGGACACTGCACTTTTGCCAACAAAGGTCCATCTAGTCAAAGCTATGACTTTTCCAGCAGTCATGTATGGATGTGAGAGTTGGACCATAAAGAAAGCTGAGCACTGAAGAATTGATGCTTTTGAACTGTGGTGTTGGAGAAGACTCTTGAGAGTCCCTTGGACTGCAAGGAGATCCAACCAGTCCATTCTAAAGGAAGTCAGTCCTATATATTCATTGGAAGGACTGATGATGAAGCTGAAGCTTCAATACTTCGACCACATGATGTGAAGAACTGACTCATTGAAAAATACCCTGATGCTGGCAAAGACTGAAGGCAGGAGGAGAAGGGGATGCCAGAGAATGAGATGGTTGGATGGCATCACCGACATGACAGACATGAGTCTGAGTAAGCTCCAGGAGTTGGTGATGGACAGGGAAGCCTGGCCTGCTGCAGTTCATGGAGTCACAAAGAGTCGGACACAACTGAGCGACTGAACTGACTGACTCACGAGCGGGGGGCTACATGCAGAAATAGCAAAGTCACCTCTGACAATCATCTTCAAATTGGTCATCAGTGTTCTGACCAGTGTCATCTTGATTGTTTTAGGTACAATTAATCTTCAGTTCCAGGGTCCATTTCTTACCATTTCTTCGTGGTCAGTTCTCGGAACTGTGGCAGCTCATGTCCTGGGTTCAGTCTGGTCATCCCGTAGTTAACTTCTCTACCTCGTGTTTTAGTATCTCTAAGACAGCTCACAGCATATGGCTCCAAATATTATCTATAGCCCTGTAGAAGAAATTAAAGGTCTTTGACTATGCTTAATGAGTACATTCTTTGGTCTCTTTTGACTGTTTTCCTTTGTTTCAGCATTTCTCACTTCTCTGATTAAACTCATTTTAGGCTAAAGTTTTCCACAGGCAAAAGGCAGGCAGAAGATATGGGGGGGGGGGGGTTGGACCATGAGTCCTGATCCATTTCATCCCCATGTAAGTCTTCCTAGGGTATTGGTCATCCATTCTTGAAGATGAGGGACTGCTCAGGAGTTAGTACATGTTTGAATGGAAGAGAAGGGAAGTAACTTTTATGAAGCCACAGAGTCCAGAAGAGTGACAAAGCCAGAATCGGAATCTGCATCCACCCCAACTGGGAAAGAATTCGCTCTTTTATGCGTCCTAACCTATCCCATTGATTTTTAATTCCCAGCGTCAAAGGCCACTGAGCTGACATTTTAAGCAGTGCTATCTTCCATCTAAGGAAGGTGGCTAGCACAGCCGCAAAGGACCTGAGCCCCTCCCCCAAAGCCTTCAGGTCCGCAAGGAGTAGGGAAATCCAGTCCCGGCTCCTCCCCAGGGGAGTATTTAGGTCGAACTGGCCTTTCCCCACGTCCCTAGCCCACCCTTGACTTGATATTCAGGTTTCGGGTAGCCTAGGCCGATTCCTGCCCCTGGCCACACGCGGGACCCCAGCAGATCGCAGCCCGAGTAGGCCCCACGCCGTGCGCCCCTCCCTCCGCCCCTTCGCCCCGCCGGCCCTGGTCCTGGGCCCCTCCTTCCCCGCCAGGACGCCCCGCCTCCCTCGCTCGGCGGCGAGTCTCGTGGTCCCGGCCCCCGCGGGCCCCACCCCGGCCCGCGCCTAGGGGCCGGCGCTCGCCCTCGTGCCCGCCCCAGCCCGCCCCCGCTCTGGATGTTCGCTTTCGCAGCCTTCGGCCAGCGGAACCTGTTTGCAGCTACCGGCGGCGGCGCGAAGGGCCTGGCCGGAAGGTTAGGCATGGAGGCGGCGGCTCGGAGGCGGCAGCACCCGGGAGCGGCAGGCGGCCCCGGCGCGCAGCCGGGCGCCTCCTTCCTGCAGGCCAGGTGGGCGCGCGCCGGCGGGCGGAGCGGAACCGCGGCCCAGCCACGTGATCTTGCGGGCGGGGGTCGGGGCCGCGGACCCGGGTTGGGTCTTCCCGGCGCTACGCCGGCAGCTGCTCCCTCGCCCACTCGCCTGAGCCACGCCTCCGCGGCTTCTTGGGGGAACCCCGGGACCCAGGGAGTCTCAGCCGCGGCGATCAGCGGCCCCCATGGCCCGGCCGGCTCCGGGACGATCGCTCATCTGATATCCAAGAAACTCGGAAAGGGGGCGGTGGCGGCGAGCCCAGAGGACACCGCTGCTCACTAGGGCCCCCAAAGCGCCTGCAAGCCCCGGGCACCAACCCAAGTTCTCGGGGTCCTTCTAACCATGACTAGGATTTGGATACTGGTGTTAACGGGAGGCTCACTCCTTGCCCCGAGGAACCCAGAATGTTGGGAATGCTAATGGAAGAGAGCGAAGTGTGGAAACTCCCCTTCAGAGAAAGAACCAGGAAGGGCTTTACCGACACGGTTGCTGTTCCCTTCTCTCAGCAAGGGGAAGTTACTGGTTTATGTATTGATAGTTGAGGCCAGGCGCTTGGGACCGAGGAAGAGGTACAGAAGCCACCTTCAATCTTCCTCTTCACTCTACCTTCATCCCGTTTTACAGGTCACAGACATTCATTGCATAGAGCGGGCATTCATTAATCATCTCTGGTGTGCCCCAGCGCTGTGCCAGGGATGGGTAAAGTGAAGCCCGGAGGACCCCACAGTCCAGTAGGACCTGGTAGGAACAGAGGCCAGGAGTTGAGAGATCGACTTGGAGGGCTTCCTGGAGGAAGTGGCGCTTAAGCTGCATCTCAAAGTACTCAGTAGGTGACAAGGGAATAAAGGCTATTTCAGCTCTGGGAAATCTTGGAAAGGCAAGGAGTGCAGTTTTGCTGCTGCTTTCTGTGTGTGCAGTGGCAAGAGGAATATAGACTGTGAAGGGCCTTTAATGGCCGCAGAACTGGGACCAGAGTGAGAGCTTAGAGTGCAAAATTTAAGGAGAGGCTCACTCTTGGGACACTAGTGCTCAAAAATCTTCTATGGCCCACCTGTACCTCCTTAAATGTTGGGTCCCATGTGTTTCACTTGCCTCACCCTAGTTCCTGCTCTAAATGGCAGGTTAAGGGTGCAGCTTTTGTTCTGTAGGGCACAGGGGAGCCATGGAAGATTTTCAAGCACTAGTGTGCTGGGAGTCAGTTTTAGGAAGTTTGTGGTATAATTTGGGATAAGGGAGGAAATCTGAGAGACTCGGCTGAGAGTAGCTCTCCTCCTGCTGCTAAAGCACATCTGTGTTCTGGATCCCCTACAAATTGGGAGTCTTTGCCGTGACCTGTGGCCGTCCAGCTAGAACTGTCTGTGAGCCTCAGACATGGTCGCCACTTGACTTGTGCAGTGTTGCCACATGCAGTGTCTTCCTCAGTCTTTTTGTGTTTTCTTATGTGGAAACCGAGACCTAGAGAGGTTACATCGTTTGCTGGCAAGAACCAGGGCGTGAACCTAGGGCTTCTGGTTTCTGTTCTTACTGCTCCACTCTGGCAGCTCAGGGGTGATGTTCCTCTCGACTCCTGCATGAGCTCCCCACCAGCCAGGATCTCCTGGGGATTGCATAAAGGGCTGGCTCTCTTCTGGGGTCTCTCTGCCCACCTCCCCTGCCCTTTGCCCTCCTGTTCTCAATCTCATTGCTGCACAAGACAGTAGGCAGAATCACCCTGTCCAACTCCTAGGATGCTTGGATTTCCTCTGCTCCATCCATGCTTTGCTTACACACCTCTAGTGACAAAGTGCTCACTCCCTATTCCAGTTTTCACGTGCTCTGTTAACAGGTTTCAGTCCATGCCCATGATTAAATAAAATTGCAGGAGGAGAGGTGAGCCCCGCGTCCACCCTGCCACTGCGTACCCTCCGCGTCTCAGCCGGGCCTCCTGCCTCTCGAGCTGCGTCCACGTCCGGCCGTGGATGGGATGGACGCGGTGGTGCCCTGCGCCGCTCCGGGCTCTCGGTTATGAGTATGATGCTTCCATAATACGTTTGGATGTTTTCAGCTAAGTTCACGTCTGAACTGTGGGGTTCCTCCAAGTGTTGACTGAAATTTGTCCTTGAGCATCCCCTCGCTCATCTAATCTACAGTCCATAATGGAGCCACTGTACTGGCTTTTGGAAGGAGGAGATTCTGAAGATAAGGAGATTCAGCAATCATTCTTTGAAATTTCCTGTGGTCTGTTCAATCTAGATGCAAAGGACATGGAAAAATCAAGTGCTCAAGTGGTTTAAATATGTTTTGGATATTCTTACTTATAGATTACAGGATTTTTCCAATTAAAATCCACAGTTGTCATGCAGAAGGAGGTTATGCCCTTCTTGATCACCAATTTTATTTGAAATGCTTAGTGTTATAGTATGTTACTGAATGCTGTTTTAATCAAAGTATAGAAAAAATAAAATCAATTTTATATGTTGAAAATAAATAAATAAATAAAATTGCATAGACAGGCTTAGAGTAAAAAGCAGTGGTTCTTTTTCCACCTCTCTCTAGTACCAGAGACAACCATGTTAGCTTCTTTTAGCTGTTTCTATCAGAATTAAATTCATATTTCTCAATAACAGTAACAAATACTACATACATACCAATTTCTGTGGACCAGGCCCTGCTCTTAAGTTTTTGCATTGAAAAAGGTTTTTGCGTAATTTAATTCGACCACAACTTTTTTTTTCCAACCACAACTCTTGAAGTAGGATATACTATTATCCAACCACAGCTCTTGAATACTTGATACTATTATCCCCCATTTTACAGATGAGAATGTTGAGCCCCATGAGGTAACTTGCTCATGATTTGGTTAGTGGTAGAGCTGGGATGTGAACCCAGGCAGGCTCCAGAGCCCACACACAAAAGTTATGCTCAACTGCTATTTCTATCAATTTTTAGCCTCTGAAGCTAATGTTGACCTACTAATTATCCTGTTATAATTTGGTTTACTCATACCTCTTCCTTCTCCACAAGATAGTTCTTTTTATCACCATTTTTAGTTTCGCTCTGTTACCTCTGTAGCCTTAGGAAATATGTAATACCATTATTTCTGTTTTGGTCAACTATAAAGCAGTATCTTTTAAAATAAAGTTTATTTATTTATTGAAGTATAGTTAATTTAAAATAAGGGCAGTATCTCTTGATTCCTTCTTAAAAGGATACTGTTATTCTCCTACCCGAAGTTTTAGCTTTCTTTACCCTTTCCCCAGCTCCTGTCATCTATAGTTTTACTTTCAAGTGGTCAAGGTTGACAGTATTTACCTGCTGTTTTTTAACCATAATTGCTTTCCATGTTTTGTTTGTGAATTGATTCTAAACTTTGAAAATCAATGTACGTTTTTATTTGTTAAGCCATGTAAATATTGTTCCCTTCAGAGTCCAGTAAGTTTAAAAATTACATTTGCTTTCTTACATTGCTTTTGTTTTTCCTGGGATTTCAAATTGCCTTTCCTTTTTTCTCTTTTGTTTTTGTTTTCTCATTTTTTGTTTAAAATTCTCATCATGTCAGGTGTTTCACCATTGTACATATAGAACCCAAATCAGTCCCTCTTTTGTCCCCATTCATAGCTCTCTCCTTGACTCCACGGTGGCTGAGACGCCTTCCTTTTCTGCCAGGCAGTCCTGCAAGTACAACTGACTGCTTTGACTATCTCATCTGTATGTCATGTGCTGTATGGTATGTAGTCTCCAACTGTCGTGGTATCCGTTTTCCCAGATGGTAGGCTTGTAAGGCTGTGGAGGAGTGAAAAGCCACCCTTGTCTTGGGTTACCTGCCCTTGTGCTTCCATCATTCCCGGCAGGAGTTTCTGATGACTGGGGCCAGAGCTGGCAGTCTGGGGGCTCCGTGTCTGTGGACTCAGGTACTTGGGTTAGCATGAGGATGCTCGTCCCCAGGACAGGGCTGGGGGAGAGGACGCCTTCACTCGCCATGGTCTGCCTCCTGTGCTCAGAGTCCCAGCAGAAGAAAACAGATGCCCACCCGTCTTGATTCCCAAGTTGGGTGTCAGCCTTGCACTTGCCCTTTTTCTTTCTGCTCTGCTCAGCCAGGCTGGACTTGCGGCAGGGATCCCAGTTGACTGAGGTGGAGGAGGAAACAGTCCTCGAGCCCTGAGCATGTGCTTGCTATCCACAGCTTCCAGAGACACACGAAGCGCTTCCTGAGCTTGCAAAATGCCTTTTATTTTCTTTACCATCTTGCTCTGAAAGTTTCCAGAACAGAACACTGAGGACCTTTTTTTTTTCTTTAATGTTTATCTCTTTATTTATTTGGCTGCACCAGGTCTTCATTGAAGCACACTGGATCTTCATCACGGCCTGTGGGCTCTTTAGTTTGGCATATGTGAGCTCGTTCCATGACCAGGGATTGAACCTGGGCCCCCTGCATTGGGAGCTCAGAGTCTTAGCCACCGGACCACCAGGGAAGTCCCAACAGTGAAGACTGTTCTCCTTCTTCCTCATCTAAGCTCTTCAGGCCTGGAGGTGGTTCCTGCCTGCTTTTCGAGGCCTTGCCTTGATGGTCATGAAGGGGAAGGGCATAGTGGGACTTCTGTACCAGTCACTCATTTCACACTCATCTCAGACTGTCCTCACAGTTAGTCGTCTCTGAGCATCTGCCCAGTCTGAAGGCCCGGCAGCCCCTCCTTCTCTTCCTTCCACTAGTAAGCCAGGCATCTCAGCTCCCTGCAGCGCCGTTTTCACTCCAACCTCCAGGCTTTTGACGCTGCACTCTCACTGCTTTTCAGCCAACATGAATCCACCCACCCATGTTTCCAGGCTCCATTCCTTCCTTCAGGCTTTGCATACTGCTCCAGGCCACACCGGTCCTTCAGTATCTTGATCTCCTGATATATTCTATAGCTGATAGTAATCAGCAGCAGAATAACAAATGACTTAAAGCACAGGTCTGGAATCCATATAGACCTCAGTTTAAATTCTGTGCACTTCAGGACTCCTGGGTTGCAGAGTGACAGAAAGCCAGTGTGAACTGCGGCACCCTTAGCAAAAGGGAATGTCTTGGCTCTTGTGGCCAAACTGTTGCCTTGGGGATGCCTGGAAGTGGGAATGTGAACCCTCTCAGGCCTTTTCCTCCTCTTCTCTGCAGGGCCGTTTCATTCTTATCTGACTTGTCCCTTGAGGCTGGTACCTTGGCCACAGGCAGCCCTGGGCCCTCCGGCTCTCATCTTTAGCCCCACAGCACAGAAAGGAGGGTGCTCTTTTCAACTCTAGTTAGAAAAGTCCCACTGGGCTGACCTGGGTTTTGGGCCTTCCCTCTGTCTCAGGGAACATCATCTTTGACCAGGGGGAGGAGGGAATGGGAAATAGTGTGACAGAAGGAATAGTTGGTGCAGCTTCTTATTAGGGCAGGTGACCTTGGTTAAGCCTTAGTTTCCTCACTTGTAAAATGAGAGGGTAGCAGTCTCCTGGTATTGCTGTGGGGCTTAGATGGGATGGTGCTGGTGGAGCTTCTAGCATGGCACACGGTAAGTAGGCAGTGATCAGAGGGGATGGCCAGGAAGACTTAGCTGATCTGGAAAAACCCACTCCACCCATCCATCCTGCCACCAGAGGATAATGAGTTCCTCGACAGCTTGCCTTCCTGTCTCTGAGTTGCTCTAGCAACACAGTGCGGACCATTCTTGGAATTGGCTGAAAAGGATCCCAGAAAATTACTGAAGCAATAGCAGTGCTGACAGAGGGAAACCTTCATGGTGCCTCTAAGCTAATGTTTGATTACCACTGAAATGAACGAGTAGGTGCATGCTAAGTCACTTCAGTCATGTCTGACTCTCTGCGACCTCATGGACTGTATAGTCCACCAGGCTCCTCTGTCCATGGGATTCTCCAGGCAGGAATACTGGAGTGGGTTGCCATTTCCTTCTCCAGGGGATCTTCCCGACCCAGGGATTGAACCAGGTCTCCTGAGTGTCCTGCATTGGCAGGGGGTCCTTTACCACTAGTGCTACCTGGGAAGCCCTTGGTAGTGCTGTAAGTAACTGGTAACTGGGATTGTTTTATATTAGCCAGTAATCACTGAGCATAAATCAGGTTCTGAGCTGAAAACTCTGGGGAATACAGGCACTTGTCCACAGCTCCTGGTCTGAGCGCTAACGGGGCAGTGTAACTCACACCTGAGCCATTTCAGGAGGAGGTGACTGCTTGTCATTGAAGGTGTGCGAGTAGTGGCGGGGATGCTCTAAAGAGGATTTGTACTCTGATGGGGAGATTGGTGAGTTGCAGGAACCTTAAAATCACCCTTCTTCTTGAGGGTCTCAGTAAGAGCAAAACTCCAGCTCTGTGATGTCGTGGCCTGGGTGGGCGTTAGAGATGAAGTCCTTCTGGTAGTGGGCTTTGGGGAAAGCTTCGTCAGGGAAGCCTTCTTGGAGAAGGTGGCATGTTTCCTGCCCTTGAACTTCAGCTCACCTGTGAAGAACAGATGGCTGACTGCTTTGCAGAAGGGATGGGCATCCAAAGATGGTGCTCTGCTTCTTGCCACATTCCCCGCATCACCTTATTCTTGTTGGCTTCCTCCTTAGGTTTTACTGTGGATTGGTGAGAGGAAGGACATTCCTGCCTCCATTCCTACCTCCTCATCGTTCAGAAACCAAGAGAAAGGGAAGCCCCGCGTTCATCTCAGCCTACCGTCTATAAGTCACATCTCACTAAGGGGCTCTTATTGGTCCGTTTCAGGTCACACGCCCATCCCGTGAACAAACCACTGTGAATACAGTGTTGCTGTGTAGTCATAAATTTGCGACTCTTCTGCCACCCCATAGACTGTAGTCTACCCATCTCCTCTGTCCGTGGCATTTCCCAGGCAAGAATACTGGAGTGGCTTGCCATTTCCTTCTGCAGGGGGTCTTCCTGACACAGGGATCAAACCCACATCTCGTCTCCTGTATTGGCAAGCAGATTCTTTACCACTGAGCTACCAGGGAAACCTATGGCTGTAAGATTAGAGGTTAACAACAGAAGCTCTGAAACGTAATCATCTGGGGCTCCAGTATTCTTGCCTGGAGAATCCCCATGGACAGAGGAGCCTGGCGGGCCGCAGTCCATGGGGTCACAGAGTCAGACGTAACTGGGCAACTGAGCACAGCACCGCAGCACTTAGCGTCTTGGGCTCAGCTTTTCACTTGTAAAATGAGGGTAATAGCATAACCTCAGAGGTTTCTGTGAGGATTACGAGAGTTAAATGAGATGGTACATGTAAACAGCTGGAGTGGTGCCTGGAATACAGAAAATGTCCAGTGAAGCCTAGCTATCATCATCCGTCACCGTGTGTCATGCCTTTCAGCCACATTTGCAGCCTCTGCCCCATCCGATCTCCCCGTCAGTCTGTAGGTGAGAGAGCCCAACCGTGATTATATCTGTTGAGTATTTTCCTTCTTGGATCCTAGAGAAGCAACTGTCAGGGCAGACGGAGTCCATCTCTGGACCCCTTCCCCCAGGCCCCAGTACTTCCAGCAAAACCTTTTCCTAGAACTTAATCCCGTGTGTTTCCTCCCACCCACAAATCCCTATGGCTTGTCCTGGTGGGGAATCTTCCCATGGAGGAGAGAAGGGCTGACTGCTTTCGTTTACATCTTTCCCAGGCACGGCGCCGTCAAGGCTGATGAGGCCGCTGGCACGGCTCCCTTCCACCTTGACCTCTGGTTCTACTTCACCCTGCAGAACTGGGTTCTGGACTTTGGCCGCCCCATAGCCATGGTGAGCGTGAAGCTGTGGATGCAACCCCCGACCGGCAGTGTGGGGACAGTGTGATCTGAATGATCAGAGTGACCTCAGACAAGTCCTTGTGCTTCCCAGTACACTGTGAGAATAGGCCTGGATGAGGTCTCTTAGTTCTATGGCTGTAACCAGGGTGGCAGCTGCCAGGGAGCGGGGGATCTGAGCAGTCATACTGTGCCCCCCACCATCCGCCCCAGTATCTCACATTCAGGTTTACCCAAAGCACCAATTCAGACAGTGGACTATGGGAAAGGATCCCACCAGCCTTCCCTGCAGCCTTGGGATAGAATTGTGTTTTCTGGAGGTGAAGAGTATGGGCTCAGTGTGCATGTCATAGACTTGAGCCTGGTGAAACCGTCCCCTTCTCTCCAAGGCTACTCCATGCCTCAGTGTACAGTGGTGGCCTCTGTGGAGATTACCACTGGAAGAGCACCGAAGCCCCTCACTTGTCATGAGCAGTTAGACAGCTAGATGAATAGACAGGTAACAGAAGGTGGAAAAAAATTGAGTGAGGTATCACCATGTGCTGAGGTGTTAATTTTTGCATGTGGGTGGTAAAAACAACAATATCCAGCACTGAAGCTGACACTTCGTACATGCTAGTGATAATGCAAAGTAGCAAAGTCCTTTGGGAAAGCGGTTGGTCAAGGTGATAACTAGTACTTAGATAGTGCCTAGCAAGATATGTCTCAGTATTCTTGTACTGAATGAATAACAATACTAACAGTAAGCTAGAAATAGCAGTTAAGATCTTTATGTGTTTGAACTTCTTTAGTTCTCCCATCAATGCTATTGTTAATCTCAGTTTTATAGATGAGAAGGCTTGAGTGTAAATAACTGGCTCAGGGTCACCCAATCAGCAAGTGGAGGAGCCAGCATCTGCCATCCCCACCCCCACCTGGGCACTCTGGCCCCAGAGCCCACCACCTCTTTCCATCATGATTATATCCAGAACCCTAATGTGTTCATCCTGCATGACTCAGTACGACCCTTTCCTAGAATCTGCCCTGAAGATGATCACTGAGACGACAGCCTCTGTACCAAAGGTGTTCACTGCAGTGTTGCTTACAGTGGCCAAACCTGGAAGGGACTTGCGTGTCCAGCAGTAGGGACTGGGTAAATCAGCTTTGCTTTATGTAGGATAGAGGATGCCACCTGGGCAGTGAACAGGAATCATGGGTACTATAGAGGAGCATCCTGGAATGTTTAAGGAGAAAACAGATGCCTGGGTGACATGCATATGAACTGCCTATCAGTCAGTAACAGCCCTAACGATCTTGTATACGTGGGATCCAAGACTTCAAGGGGATGAAAGAAAGCTGCTGGCAGTGGTTTCAGGGAGGAGGTATGGTGGATGTTGAGTCTCCTTTCTGCAGGTTTTTGGTAAGGTTTACAAGTTGTTTTTTAAATGTAGGTGAAAGAAAAGGGACTGAGCCAGGAGTCAGGGCACCAGTCAGGTTTGTAGGTGATTTGGGGCAAGTCAGGGTCATTTGGGCTTTGGCTCTCTCATCTGTAAGAAGACTGGTTGGACCAGCTGACCTGAGCTGAAGGTTCACTTACCAGGGGACAGAGGAGCTGCCCATCAAACTGGTGTTCTGGGGAGAGGGGAGATGAGGCCAGGGTAGCTCGTGGCTCTCCTCACTCACTAGGACTCAGCCTCATCTGGCCCAATAGGGCTCGCCGGTGGGGCAGATCACCTCCCGCCATCCTGCTCAGAGTTGCTGTGGCCACTGTAACCCTAAGTGGGCTCAGTAGGAGCATACATCTGAACAGGTTCAGTATATACATGAGCTTTTCAGATGGATACATGATAGTCTCAAATTTGTAATAACTACAAAATAAAACCTTTTACAAGTTATAAAAGTAGTCATAGTTATATAACAAGTTATATAAAAGTATGTCATAGTTACATAACAAGTGAGTTCACACCCAGTAATATAAAGCAGTATGAGACTCTCCCTTTCCTAGTCCCACTTCTGAGTGTTTGGGGCACATCCTTCCACTCCTTTCTCTATTCATGCAACATACATGTATACATCCTTCCCCCCCCCCCCGCTGCCCCGCCCAACCAAAATGAGATCTTACCTTTATACCTTAGTCTACAACTTGCTGTTTTACTTTAGACTGTATCGTGGATATCTCTTCATGTCAGCACATATAAGGTGTCATTTCTGTTCGTGGTTGCTTAACTTTCTGTAATAAAGATGTGCTGTAGTGTATTCAAGTAGTCCTGTTTGGTTGAAGAGTTGGTCTATTTCTGATTCTTTACTATCACCAAGTGTTTCAGCCAGCTATATATCTTGCTGTAGATAAAGCTATAGAGATGCCCACACAGCAAGTAAGAAAGAGATTGAGATTCCTGTCTCCTAGGAGATTTATTTCTGCAGGTTGGTTTTATCCAGCACACTTTCTAATTAAGAGAAATAAACATTTAAATTTTTATTGAAATTTATGATCATTACCCGTGTTCACTGGTAGATTCTAGAGGTATAGTTTGGCAGGGCAGGTATTGAGAAGTGTAGTGATCTTGCATAGGTGTTGTCACGCTAACCCTGACAAGGCTGGAACTTACTGGGGTAGACCAGTAGGAAGAACAAGGGAATTCCAGACAGAGGAATGGCCCTGGCCTATCTCAGGGAAGGTAGGAAAGGAAGAACTGAAGCTACTTTGTAGAACTCACATATTTTCTCCTTTGTTTCGTAAGGTATAGTTCCAACCTGATTTGGAAGTGGTCCATCTGCTCAGTGGACAGGATGTTTTCCACACCTGGGTGGTCAGGATTTCTTGATATCATTCTAATGAGCCAGATCAGTAAGGGTCCATGTAGACCATCTGGGCCACACTTTGTTACAGATGGGGAAACTGAGGCATGAAGAAGAGAAGAACTTGCCCCAGGGTACCCAGAAAGTTTTTGGCATGATTGAGTCCCAAAGATTCTTCCAACTCCCAGGCTGGTACCCAGGGACCTTTGTTTAGTATCCACAGGGAGAGGGACACAGGGTCAGACTGGGTTTGTACCTACTGTGTGACTGGGGACAAGTCTGCCTTCTCTGGGACTCAGTTTGTCTGAGAACACCTTCACCCCAGTGCTGCCAAGAGGACTCCAGGAGATCACAGAAAGAACGCAGTGTGCGCAGAGGCAGTTCTGAGGGCCGCGTGGGTCATGCCTGGTAAACTGCACTCTCCACTTGCTCCCCAGCTGGTGTTCCCTCTCGAATGGTTTCCCCTCAACAAGCCCAGCGTGGGGGACTACTTCCACATGGCCTACAACATCATCACGCCCTTCCTCCTGCTCAAGGTAGGATCCCAGGGCCCCGCCTCTCCCTTCCCACCCTTTCTCTGCCCTGCTGCCGAGCCCTGGGAGTGCCCTGAATCGGGCTGTCTCCTGCCTGACTGGGGGAAGAAGGCTGTGACAGAGGGGACGTGTCAAGGGCCTGAGGGCCCCAGGGGAGGCAGGCTGCCTCTGCCTGGGAGGGATGGAGCAGGCTTCCCCAGGGAGGGGCGTGTGATTTGGGCCTCCCTGGTGTGTCTGGGGGTGAACTGGGAGAGACCTTCAGGCAGAAGTATCTGAAAGCAAGGCCGGTCTTGAGGAGCCATGTTTGGGGAGGGTGAGGCAGGAGTGGCTGGGTTGCTCAGGGAGAGGTCAGGGACCAGTTGGACAGGCAGGTGGGGGCCTGGAGGCAGGAAGGGCAGCAATGCAGGGTGAACTCTATCCTCCCGACCGAGAGCCCTGACTTTGAGACACCACTGGGAACACAGAGCTGTCTCCTGGAAAGCTCTCTGCTCTGCTGGTTTTGCACTTTGCCAAGTCAGGGCTCTTAAAACTACTGCCATTTACTATCCCCGTCCTTTTGTTTTTAGAGAGACATTTCCAAACTCCCCTGGTGGCTCAGACGGTAAAGCGTCTGCCTGCAATGTGGGAGACCCAGGTTCAATCCCTGGGTCAGGAAGATCTCCTGGAGAAGGAAATGGCAACCCACTCTAGTATTCTTGCTTGGAAAATCCCATGGACAGAGGAGCCTGGTAGGCTACAGTCCATGGGGTCGCAAAGAGTCAGACATGACTGAGTGACTTAGCTTGCTTTCTTTCAGAGTAGGGGAGGTGTAATCTCTGAATTCGGAGGGGTCTTTAGTTAAATAACTTGGTTTCAGAAACACCTGCCCCACATTTTTGTTTGCGTGGCTCAGTTGCTCAGAAATGGGAGCAGCCCAGCCTCAACAGGCCAGCCCTGCCACCCAGAAGCAGAACTAGGGGTGGTGGGAGGTCAGGGCCTGGCTTGCCTGTGTAGAAGGCCTGGCTGTCATCTCCAGCATGGTATATGGGTGTGTTTAACCTTGGGCAATGAGCTGGCCCTGGGGAGTGGGTTTTCTCTTGGGCCAAAGAGGGTGCTCTTCCCCAGCACCTTCTGGGTTCACAGGGATCATGTGAGATGACAGAGGCTAGACTGACTCCCCTAAAGGGAACCCATGTGAGAGGGGCTTTCTGGCTGGTGGCATCCATCCCACTTGGGGTGAGGGTATCTGCTGTGGTGATGGCATCGGGGGTCATGCTGTGGGGCCTTCCTCTGACCTCAGCTCATTGAGCGGTGCCCCCGCACCTTGCCACGCTCCCTGATCTACGTCAGCATCATCACCTTCATCATGGGGGCCAGCATCCACCTGGTGGGCGACTCAGTGAACCACCGCCTGATCTTCAGTGGCTACCAGAACCACCTGTCGGTCCGTGAGAACCCCATCATCAAGAATCTCAAACCAGAGACGCTGGTGAGCCCCCACCTCCACGGTGCAGCCTGTCCTGGAGGCCAAAGACATTGCCAACCCATCGCAGGCGCCCCAGATAGAGCAGGTTGCCCCCCCACCCCCCCGAACCCCAAGCTAGGATGCTCCAACCCAGATCCCCTCCTCCCGGTAGGGGGGGACTGGGGGCATTTGAGGGAGGCATGGGCAGTCAGGGGGAGGGTAGCCTGGGGGCTGCGTGGGCCCGACACCCTTCCTGAAGCCCCACCCTCTCTGCTCCCCCAGATCGACTCCTTTGAGCTGCTCTACTACTACGATGAGTACCTGGGCCACTCCATGTGGTGAGTGATGGGGCCCCTGGCCCCGGTGACGCTGAACAAGGGGCCCCGGGGTCTCGAAGTGTCCAGCCCAGCCGCTGGAATGGCGTGCTCTTCCCCAGCGGGGGGCGCTGTCGCTCCTCTGGCGCTCGCCTCGCCGCCTTCCGTGCCCACCAGCCCGCAGTATCCGCGGCGGCCACTAGAGGGCAGCGAGCGGCTGTCCTCCCTGGGCCGAGGCTGCTGCGCTGGTAAACAACTCCCCCGACCCCGGGGGTGAGGATGGGGACCCGGAGGCAGGGAGGGAGCCGAGGAGGGCCGGCTGAACCAGGCTGGGGGCGAGGTGGGAGTAGGGGTGCTCCTAGTACCCCCCTCTCCAAACCCCCCGGGAGCTCCTTCCTCCCGCCCCTTCACCCCACAGTGGAGGAAACCTCACAAATGTGGGCTCAGCCACAGGAGATGCGGCCCGAGCCGGGGGCAGTTGTCTGTTCCAGACGCCACTTTATCCCGGGATGAGCTGGGGCCGGTGGGAGGGGCTTTGCCCACGGGCTGACAGCTGGTGCCAGAGCCAACCCTGGACGTGGGTGGCCCCACTCCCGAGTGAGGTGGGCTCACTCCTGTCACACGGGCCCTACATTGTATTTCTGGGTTCTGTTTTAGGGACTAGAAAGTCAGGGAATCCTTGCACAGACAGGCCTCTTGCCAGTTCTCCCTGGCCTGTGCCAGGAGACCCTTGCCATGGAAGGCTGGGGAAGGGAGGAGGAGAGGTGTAAGGTGTAAGGTGAAAGGGCAGCAGAGGATTGAGAGGGTGTGGGGGCCGGGGAGGGGAAGGTGGGGAAGGAGATGAGTAGCGGTGGGAACAGAAAGGAGTGTTGTGCGAGCTGGCACGGCGCGTGGGGAAGCAGCGTGTGTGTGGTGGGGGGGGAGGTACGTGGGTGAGCTGTGCGTGGAAGGGCGTGAGGCTGGGGGCTGGTTGTGAGTGAAGGAGCGTCACAGAGCTCCTGGGAGACCCCCGGCACACCCCCGGCACGTGCTGTTCCTCCCCCACCTCTTTTTTTTTTTTTCGGAGCTGGGACCTCGGGCCTCTCCCTCCTCCATCCTGCTGGGTGCACCCTTTTCCAGGGCAGTGAGGGGCTGGGGCTGCTGGTCTTGGGGTGAGTGCGTGGGGCAGAGAGATACGTACACACACGCGGGGAGTGAGTGAGGAGGCCGGGACAGTGGGAGGAGGACCCCGCTCCCCGCCCCCCATGGCTCGGATCTGCAGGCCTCATCTTCCTTCCTAGACCCCTGCCTGGGAGGTGGTGCTGGCAGCCAGGTCGTCCAGCCATGTCCGGGGTGGGCGGGCCGGCGGCCGAGCTGCTGAGCACCGGCTTCCCTGTTGCAGGTACGTCCCCTTCTTCCTCATCCTCTTCATGTACTTCAGCGGCTGCTTCACTCCCACCGAAGCCGAGAGCTCAATGCCAGGGGCGGCCCTGCTCCTGGTGGTGCCCAGCGGCCTGTACTACTGGTGAGTGGATGGCAGACCTGGGGCGGCAGGGAGGGGCCCTTAGTGGTCCAGTCAGGGAAAATGTGCTCCCGTCCTCGGAGCTGCCGTGTGAGCCCTGGTGAGACTCCCGCTGGGGTCCCTGCTTCCTCCTCTTCAGTGGACCTGGGACAGTGCCTTCTGGTGACCAGGAAGGCTGGCCTGAGTGTGACCTCTCTACACTCGGGGTGTAACCTCAGGGCCCATAGAATCCACGTCGAGGCATAATTTCTGTGTGTGCTTCGTTGCTCAGTCGTTCCAGCTCTTTGCCAGCCTGTGGACTGCAGCCCACCAGGCTCCTCTGTCCACAGGATTCTCCCAGGCAGGAATACTGGAGTGGGCTGCCATTTCCTTCTCCAGGGGATTTTCCCAGCCCAGGGATCGAACCTGCATCTCCTGTGTCTTGCGCGTTGCGGGCGGATTCTTTACCTTCTGAGCCATCGGGGAAGCCCCGGGGAGGCCTGAAGAACCTGCGGGCTGGGGGGTGGGGGGCTGACTTTCGCCCCCTGTGAGATGAGGATGATAGCAGGCGGTCTCCCTTTGGGACATGGTGAGAACCCAGAGACAGGGGCTCGTAAACTGTGAAGCATCATGGAGAGGACAAGGATACTTACAGGGGAATCCCATGGCCTCCGGGCTTCCCACCTGGTGTCCTCTTCCCATTCCAGTGGGCCAGGCCTCAGCCAGGCTCTTCCCTTTCCTCTGTCACTTCTGCTCTGGAGTCAGGCTCCCCGGGGATTGTGGGTGTCTTAGAAAGGGTGGGTGTCCTAGCCCTTCTCTGGGGGGAAGCCTCCAGCCAAATGAAAAAGGCCTCCTCTCCTGGGGCCCTCTCCCCCACCTCCAGGGGCCCCCTGCCCAGCAGTGGGGATCCTTGAGGGTGAATCCATATGCCCTCTGGGGACAGGATTAGAAGGAATGGGTGACAACCACAGCTGGAGGGAAAGAGGTGAGAAGTGAGAAGAAGCTCCGCCCATTCTTACCCAGGGTGTGTCAGTGCAGTGGCAGCTACAGGGGGCCATTCATGAACAGTGTGCCTCTCCAAGTACACAGTTCTCGTCAGTAACCTTGAGAGCTAGGGCCGCTTATGCCCCCTTTATGAGTAAGGAGACAAAGGCTCCAAGATGTCATGTAAATTCCCCAAGGTGACACAGCCACTCAGTTGCAGGGCTGTGCAGTCGCTTGAGTGGGATGGGTCAGCATGGTGGTTCTCTCTCGAGGCAAGGGAGTAGACGGGATAAGCTCTGAGAAGCCCTGCAGCAAGTGTCATGCATTCCTGGCCTGTGCCTGGTACTGCCCTGAGAGCTGGAGGGAGCCCTGGGGGAGGAGGCCGTGTCCCGCCTTCAAGGAGATAGTCAGGACAACCCCATAAACTGAAACTCCATCCCCAACACAGATGCCTTTAGGAGCTAAACTGGTGATAGAAGTGCATCAAGTGAGGCAGTAGGGAGTGGTGGGAGCTGTGGCAAGCTGCAGAACCATGCTGTCTCTAAGCAGCCGCTTTCTCCTCATCAGTTATTGTCATGTGGGAATACAAACCTAACGTTAGCAGGGATTTCAGAACTCCATGTGGGCAGGTAATCTGTTATTTAAATATTGGCAACAAACTCGACCTTTTGAAAAATAGTAATTCTAGAAGCCAAATCCAAATGCTGTGTACACACCGTGGCTCAGAGTGGACCCCTCACTCGACGCGCTCTTCTGACCAGCTGGGAGGGCAGCCTGGGGCCTGGGTAGAGGGCAGGACGCTGGGCAGGGGGGGCTGTCATGGCGCCCCCACCCCTCACTGCCCGCCTGCCTCCTCAGGTACCTGGTCACCGAGGGCCAGATCTTCATCCTCTTCATCTTCACCTCCTTCGCCATGCTGGCCCTCGTCCTGCACCAGAAGCGCAAGCGCCTCTTCCTAGACAGCAATGGCCTCTTCCTCTTCTCCTCCTTCGCCCTCACCCTCCTGCTCGTGGCGCTCTGGGTCGCCTGGCTGTGGAATGACCCCGTACTCAGGAAGAAGTACCCGGGCGTCATCTATGTCCCCGAGCCCTGGGCCTTCTACACCCTGCACGTCAGCAGCCAACACTGAGTCCTGAGCACCGGCCCCTGGTGCTCTGTGGGTGGGAGGTGGATGGTTGAGCGTGAGTGTGGGGAGTGTGTGCGTGTGTGCACCCACTGGGGATGGACAGCCGAAGGAGTCTGAGTGTGTGTGTGTGTATGCGTGCGTGCACCCACATGTGTGCAGCCTCTAGCTCAGAGCGTCGGTGAGAGTATGCCTGGTGCCTGTGGATAGGGGTGTGTGTGTCTGTGTATGTCTGTGCGCATACGGAGAGCATCGCTGTGAGGCTGAATTGTTTTGGTTAAGTTTCCATTCGATTTTCATGATGGGACATAGGCTGAGGCAGTGTGTCCAGACCAGGAGCTGGGCCCGGCCTTCTCATGCCCACTGGAGCCGGGCCTTCTCTCTCACTGCTCAAGGCTGTCTCTCCCTGGGCGTCTTCTGGTGGCCGCAGGGGAGAGGCCTGGGTAGGGCAGAGGTCAGGAGGGAACTTGGCCTGTCACCTACCACCTGGCTCACTCCTCAGCGCCCCTGACCCTGAGGGCAGGTCGCAGGGGTTCTGTGAACTTGCTGTGTAGCCATTTGCAATGCACCCACTTCCCTGGGCCACGGTTGCAGCAGACGGGCCGATGGGTCCCCAGTCGGCTGTGGGCTGGTTGCCGTCTCCTCTCAGGGCAGCCTTGGGAGGGGTGGATGGTTCCTCCTTGTCCCTGCCTTCAATGCTGGGAGAGGTATGTGCACCCCAGATCCTCACCCCGCCGCAGGCTGCATGGGGTGGGGAGCCAGAGCCAGCCCTCCCCCAACCGCCGGCCTGATCTTGGGGTCTGGCTGTGGTCGTTCCCGGCCGCCTTCCTCTCCTGGGAACTCGGTCTGTGTCCCGCCTTCAGGATCGTGGCACCCGCTTGGTTCACCTGACCAAGGTTTCTGAGCGGCCGCTGGAGGCAGAGTTCTCCGGTACTTGCACTCACTAAGGCGGACATCGTGGGGCTCTTGTCAGCGTGTCTCAGCCTGAATCCACACCTGCCGCCCGCGGCCCTGCTCCCAGGAGAGGGGGCCTTGTTCTGGCAAGACGCCCCCTCCCCAGCACCAGGGCCAGGTCTCCTCCCGCGACTGCAGGCACGCAGCCTCACTTCCCAGCATTGCTGGCCTGCATGCGTGCGAGGGGCTCCGGGGGGCCTGCCTTGCCTCCCCTGCCCTCCCCGCCAATCCTGTGCTCTCAGGGACTCTGCCTCAAACCCTCCTTTCACGCAGGGTTCCCCCAGCCCTGGTCAGTCCCCATCTGCTGGCAGCATCAGGGGTGAGCAGTGTGAATAAAGGCGGTGTGGAGCCAAGCCCCACTGGCTGCTGCTGCTTCCTTGGGGTGTGAATTTGGGAGGCCGGAGGAGGAGGGTCCCTGGAGCAGGGGAGGGAGTGGCCGGTCTGGGGCCTGGCAGGAGCCCTGGGCTGACCCCAAGGGCCTGCTCAGCCCTGCCCGGCTGGAAGCAGGTGCTGCCACTGCCCACTGGCTGTCTGTGCTACTTAGTATGATGCTGAGTTTGGGGGGTCACCAGCAAGAAGGGCTTCCTGTAGGTCCCAGGTCTCTTCAGAGGAGGCTGAGGGTCACGGGGGTGGGGCCGGCAGAGGGCATCTGCAGATGGAGCCCCCAAGCTGTGCTGCTAGCGCCTTCAGGAAACTGAAGCAGAGAGGGTGTCCTCTGGAGGGAGGCGGGGGGCTGGTTTGTGGGAGGCTGGCACTTAGCCTTGGGCAAGTCACATGACCTGCTTTGCTTTTCCCAGGCATCTTTTACACCCATGAGAAGTTAGTGACATCCGCCCCCACCGCCTTGGGAGTAACAGATGCCTGCTGTCCTGCTCAATAGCTCCTGCTCAGGATCTGGGATGAGGACAGCCCTTCTGGCTAGTTGGGCCCCCTGGCTTCTGGGATCTGAAACAATGAATTTTGTGATTTCACTTCCTTGGTAGCGATGTATTGAAACTTGTTTAGTTGCTAAGTTATGTCCTACTCTGCGACCCCATGGACTGTAGCCTGTCAGGCTCTTCTGTCCATGGGATTTTCCAGGCAAGAATACTGGAGTGGGTAGCCATTTCCTTCTCCAAGGGGTCCTCCAGGCGATCTTCCTGACCCAGAGATTGAACCCGCATCTCTTGTGTCTCCTGCATTGGCAGGGAAGCCCAACTGCCTTCAATCAAAAGGACCCCATGGGTTTCACTTCCCCAGAGTGGGAGCTGGATGCTGAGGGCACTGCCTGCCACCCCCAGTGTGGGTGGCTTGTGCCCCCCCTCACTTAGCAGTTCACAATCTGCACAGTCTTAGTTCAGTAAGCCAGCTCCAGCCTTGGCCTCTCAAAGCACAAGGGCCCCCACCTTCCCAGTAACCTCAGTTCTTCCCTACGTTGATTCCATGTTTCCTCCAAAGCCTGTCCCAGGCCTGTTCTCCATACAAGGACTTAATGGATATCACCTAAGTGGGCACACATCTGATTGTGGGGTCTGAGGCTTACACAGTTTTGAGTGTGCTTGATAAGAAAACTTAAAGTGAATAAACATTAGATATGAAAGAATATTTAGGATGGGAAAGATATCACAGTAAATTATTGGAGCGTTGGAGATTCATGTCCCTCTTGACCGAGATCTCTTTGGGAAGTTTCCTGAAAATGTTTCCCAAGAAATACAGGCACATGGATAGGTGGGTCTGGGGTGATCGCGCTGGTGGACATCAGTGACTGGCCTGTAACAGCATCTGGATAAATCCCGAGGAAACCACCAGAGGGCGTGCTGGTGGCTGCACCCCCCCCTGTGGGGACAGGGCTGCAATAGTGACCTAGGAAACCACTTTATGGGGCCATGAGAATCAGGAGCTGGCCTATAAAAGATGACATAGACACTGGCATTTCCACCTGCCCTGCAACCCTCCTCCCTTGCTGCCGGGCTAAGCGGAAGGACGGATGGACTGCTTACTTAACCAGCAAATGAGACAGGAAATCCACTCTCTGACATGTGAACTAGGAGGCTAACTCAAGCCTCCCACATTATAACTGAATATGCCAGGAGCATCCAACCCAGAGACTATGCCATGGTAACCCCAAAGCAACTAGTCGGCACCATCCAAGTCCAACTGTTTTTGTCCTGACCACAGGACCTACTCCCAGGGGAACACGGTATAACATGGCCTGGGACTGGCAGGTAAGTTTCTGGTGGTGTGGGTTTGCCGCTTTGTGGGGAACAGGATTAGAAAGGGTCTTACAGACTTCAGCTGACCTCCCCTCGGCCCCACCTGAGACCGCTACTGAGGTCACTCGTCCAGGCCGCTACTGGAGAAAGTCACCATTCTATGACCCCTAGGGGCTGTTAGACCCCCCCTCCAGGTTCCTGCGCCAGCTGTGGGGACTGCAGGCTGGGACGCCGACCGCAGGCTGGGGTGGTGTGATCTCAGAATGCTGTCACTGCTTGCGTGTTGCTTCATGGCCACGATCTCTGTACTGTGCCCGTTAAGCATCTTAGGTTTCTTCCCTAGCCTGAGCAGAGGGGATCTGGGGGCCAGGTGACTGGTGGCCTCACCATTTTATTATGTGTTTATGGCTGCGCTGTCTTCGTTGCTGCGCGCGGGTTTTCCCTAGTTGTGGAGAGTGGGGGCGACTCTGGTTGCAGAGCGCGGGCTTCCCACTGCAGTGGCCTCTCTTGTGGAGCACAGGCTCTAGGCACACGGGTTGCAGCAGTTACAGCCCAGGGGCTAGTCACTTGTGACTCAGGCCCTGGAATGTGCAGGCTGCAGTAGTTATGGTGCAGGGACTTAGTTGCTCCGAGACATGTGGGATCTTCTGGGACCTGGGATCAAACTCATGTCCCGTGCATTGGCAGGTAAACGTCCCAGCATTGAGCCACCTGGGAAGTCCCGGCCTCACCACTGGTAGGTCTGACTGCAGGGTCTCCCTCCTGTGGACTGCCACGAAAAATTCAGCCCAAGCTGGTCCACCTCTTGGGGAATTAACTCTCTTTAGCACACTTTGTGTCTTACTCTTGATTACCTGTGTGTGCTCAGTCGTATCTAACTCTTTGCGACCCCATAGACTGTGGCCCGCCAGGCTTCTCTGTCCATTGGATTTCCCAGGCAAGAATATTGGAATAGGTAGCCACTTCCTACTTCAGGGGATCTTCCCGACCCAGGGATCAAACCGATGTCTCTTGTGTCTTCTGTGTTGGCAGGCAGATTCTTTACCACCGCACCACCTGGGAACTCTTGGTATTCTTCCAGCTACTGTTATCATGGGGTTGCAGAAGAATCGAAAACAACTTAGAGACTAAACAGCAGTAACAACAATCTGTAATTACATTTGTGATATCTGGTTGCAATGCCCCTCTGCACACCTGACCCCAGGAATATCTCAGAAGAGGGGCAGGGCCAGGATTATAAGAGTCACGCCAGATGTGTGGGCATGTATGGCCAGGCCACTCAGGATGGCTCTTCACTTTCTCTCTGTGTATCTCCTGCTCCACCAGTCCCTACTTCACTCACAGGACCATCCAATCCTCTTAATCATAGGCCTTTATCAGTGACTGTCCACACGCTTGCCCGTGCCCCCAGCTGGTTTCCCTGGTAACTGATGAGCCCATCTGAAGTCAGTGCTCTATAACTGGTAGCCGCCGCCTCCTCCAGAGTAGCAGAAGGCCCTGCCATGTCCTGCCTGCCGTCTGCCGTCCACAGTGGGGGTGTTGCTCCAGGATGTGGCTTCAGATACGTAAGATTCCCCCATGTGATAAGTTGTTGTCTGTGTCTCTGGGCTCTTTTGTCTCGAGGCTGGGCTACTACAAGGCTTGCAGGACCTTGGGGGTGTAGCCCAGTGGTCATGTCTCCCCCAGGAACCCCTTTCCAAATACAGGGTGATTCTAAGTGAGCCCTTGACCTGGCCCTTCCAAGGCCCCACCTGATGTCTCCTCTTCTTCCTGTAAGGCTGATAGGAGCTCCCTCCTCTCCTGCTCCCAGCAGCCTTCCCTCTTCTCAGCCCCAACTGGGAGGAGTCAGAAACCTCCAGCTAAAACTCTCTGGGTCTCGAAATGGGTGTGAAGTAGAGGAAAAGAGAACCTTTCACAAGGAAATGGTCAGGGGACAAAGACCCCCCCACCCAATCCATGTGATTTCCACAAGTTCCCAACATGTCCCTCTGCACACGCAGCCCTTTGCAGGACCCGCTGGTCCCCAGACCAGGAGCCCTGGTGCAGCGCACAACCTGTGTGGCCGCACCTGCCGGTCCTGACGGTGGGGTGGGCCCTGGAGTCAGAGCCCCAGAGGCAGGGCAGCCACCAACTGTGGGAATGGGATACAGTAGGGATCTGGGAGAAGAAGGGGGGACCCAGCTGTGCCCAGCACTGTAGCTCCACCCCCCCTTCACTTCCTCAGTGGGTGAGGGGAGGGGTGGGCTGGGGACAAACCGCTGAGGAATGGGAGAGTCAGCAGCTTCTGCTGGAAGGGCTGGGAGCTACAGTGGGGAGTGGAGGGGAAGGAAGAAAAGGGGAGACTTCCTGACCAGGAAAGTCATTTAAGAGGTCTCCCTCTGAGTCCCCTGGGTTGCCAGGGGTTGTGGTGGGGCCAGAGACCCCAGCATGGGCACCTACCACACCCCCAGAAGGAGGGGAGGGAACTGACTCAAGCTGAAAACTGGCCATCTGGCCATTGACTCTCAACATAAGGCCTGGATGCTGAGGCACAGAGCTGTGGAATGGGCACCGAGGTCTTCCTCGGGGGGGCTTTTCTCTCCTGTGTGCGGCATCCAAGGCTCTGGTAGAGGAGGTGGCTGTCACTGGGCTGTGGTGTCACACGAGTTTTCCTCCCATATTAAAAAGCAGAGACATTGCTCTGTTAACAAAGGTCCATCTAGTCAAGGCTATGGTTTTTTCAGTAGTCATGTATGGATGTGAGACTTGGACTGTGAAGAAAGCTGAGCGCCGAAGAATTGATGCTTTTGAACTGTGGTGTTGGAGAAGACTTGAGAGTCCCTTGGACTGCAAGGAGATCCAACCAGTCCATCCTAAAGGAGATCAGTCCTGGGAGTTCATTGGAAGGACTGATGCTGAAGCTGAAACTCCAATACTTTGGCCACCTGATACGAAGAGCTGACTCATTTGAAGATACCCTGATGCTGGGAAAGATTGAGGGCAAGAGGAGAAGGGGATGACAGAGAATGAGATGGTTGGATAGCATCACCAACTCAATGGACATGAGTTTGGGTAAACTCCGGGAGCTGGTGATGGACAGGGAGGCCTGGTGTGCTGTGGTTCATGGGGTCGCAAAGAGTTGGACACGACTGAGTGACTGAACTGAACTAATGAGGTGGTGTGTGATGAGTCTAAAGGGGGTGTGCAAAGTGCCCGACACCCAGGAGGACACTATTTAGCCCCTAGCACAATCCTCAGAAATACCCCTGAAGGCAGGCCCAGGGGGACCCAGCGACCCCCTCTCTGGGTGACCGCTTCTTAGTGTCCACGGAGGGCTCCCAGGAAGGAACAGCGGCCTTTGTCCTCTGGCTACAGGCCATCAGCTTCCTGGTGCAGGACCGAGTGCCGGGGAAGCCCTTGAGCAGCTCCCATCTCTCAAAATCCAGGCTGCCACCGCCCCACAGCCAGGCATCCACCATGCACAGGAAGCCGGAATCTGACCCCTGGCGGCGGGCCTGGTCTCCATGGCAGCCGTGGATTTATTACCAGGGCCTCCACCCGGCCGGGCGGACTTTCGACTTGAAGCCGGGAAGAAGGGGAACAGGAAGGCAGTTCTGGGAGCAGCGAGCCCACGGGTGGCAGCTGGAGGCCCCGCGATGGTGAGTGAGGATCTGTGTGGCCTGGCCAGGCTGCCGTGGGCTGGGGAGGCAGGGGGCTTTCATGGGGTCCCTTCCTGACTGTTCTCCTCTCTCTGCTGCAGGCCAAGTTTCTTTCCCAGGACCAAATTAATGGTAGGTTTGGTTTGTTCTTTCATTAGCAACTCACAGCAAAATATGGGTCTCATTAGGCAATTTGCTCTGCTCATGTTTTGTTGGTGGGAGAGCTGGGCCCACCCACGAGCCAGGGGCCGACTGCTACCATGAAGGGCCTGGTGGAGGGGCGGGGGATAAGGCTTGGAGGTAAGAACTGTCGCTAGTACACTGGTCAGTGTGATTTACGAGAGGGCCTGATAGGAGAGGGAGCACACTCGGTTCTCCTCCAGAACTTGATAGTTGGGAGAGGTGGGGAGAGGGGCTGGTCAGAGAGACACCAGCTGGTTGTGGCTGAAGGCCCCGCCTGAGAAGGGGGCTTTGTAACTGGCTGAGAAAGAGAACAGGGCCCAGGGCTGTGCTCTCGGAAAGGGTGCTTTGTTTAGGCTGTGGGCCTCAGTCTCCCCATTTGTAAAGGGTGAAGGCCAGTGGAGGTGGTCTCGGAGGTCCCTCTGCCCTGACAGCAAGCCTAGTGTTGGCATCTGGAGCACTTTATTCCTTGAATCCCCAAACCTGCTGCCCCCAGGCAGCCTCAGTTTCCCACAGTGCCTGGTTCTGTTTCCGCGAGGCCAAGCCAACAGAGTCGGGTTACACAGAACCCGGGGCCAAACCCGGCTGGGGCGGCTCGGCTGAGCTGAAGCAGGGAGCTGAACTGAGGGTGGGTTACCTGGGCAGGACGTGCAGAACTCGGGGGACCAGCAGCGTCTATAAGGGAGAGAGGGTAGGTGGGTTGCAGGCATCTCCCCATAGGCCCCTTCATATCCTTACCCCTCAAGGGGGGCCAGAGCAGGGACTTTTAAAACCCAAGGCCCAGGAGAGGGGCCTCTCCTACCTAGGTCTTAAGACAAGACTTGATGAGTCTCAGGGCTGGAATCCAGCTGTCAGTGTCCCCCCACCAAACCTGGTGCCGGGGCTCACTGACCCTCCCTCTGGGGCTTCTGAATCTCCCAGAAGGGAAGAAGGTAAGTTTCCCTTTGTATCCTAAAGTCTGACACAAAGAAAGTGACCACAAACATTCAGGAAAGGAAGACTGATTGAGTGGGAAGACCAGGGACCTTGGAGGCAGTGGGCCTGGGCTCCAGTCACCTCTGAGCCTCAGTGGTCGCATCTGTGAAGTGGAAGTAATGACACTGCCTCATCAGGCTGCTGTGAGCAAGAGACAGAGCAGATGGCGGCCACACATCTGGCTCTGGGCCTGGACGTCACCCAGATGACATCCGGGGCCAGCTTGCTCTGCTAGTGTGAGCTGCGTGGTGCACTTTTAGGAATTTTGTGAACCATTGTTAAATAAAGGAAGATGAAAGAATGTCCCAGTCCCTTCGTCTATACAAAAGTTTTAAAAAGATAGCTCTGTTGCAATTAGTAGTGCTGAAGATTTGAAAGGTTTCAGTTTAATGGATGTAATTTGTGCAAAGGTGAGGAATAGTTTAATAGTAGATCACTCATCAGATGTAATGACAGCGTAGTCATTGGGAAAATAGTTCCTTGGCCTGCAGCTTACCTCACTTATGGTTAAATCCAAACTGTAGGTTGGCAATGGATACAAGAGCTTGGCAAAAATTCACTTGTGATAATCAATTGGCTAGATGGGACTTATAATCAGTGTTTTTATTACTTGTAAGTTGTATGCTATACATCCTTAAGTCTACACCACGTACAGATGTCATCAGAGTCGGCTGTTCCATTCCCAGCACAGCTGGTGTTATCCTGGGTCTGGGGAGGATTCTTTCTTGCCATGGGGCATTTGCATTTTTGAAGGGAAAACTTAAAGGGGATTTTAATCCAGTTTGTTTAACCCAATGTGTTCTTTCATTCAACAATTATGAGCCCTTTTTTTGTGCCAGCCCCGTTCTAGGGATTAAAAATACAGCGGCGCACAGAGGAGCCCCACATCCTTGTGCTCACAGGGTTCACCTTGGCGGGAGGGGGGCCACAGAGGAAAGGCGCAAAGTAAACAGGATGTTGGAGTGCAGGCAGGTCTGTCAGGTGCAGGGCAGGGCAGGGAGGGAGGAGGTGTAGAGGTCGTGGAGGGGGGCAGGAGTAGAAAGAGAAGAGCCCTACTGTTTCAGGGCCGGCTGCCTAGTTCAGAGGACCCCCCAGATCTTTAAAGGCAGGAAGACAGAACACATTTTAGGTAACTGGGGAGGAGATGGGCCCCCAATTGAATCTAGCCCTCCTGATACCAGGGGCCACGGGCCCCCAAGAGCTGAGTATGGAGGGAGGTAGTTTGCCCCCTGTGGAGTCTGGTCCATTCTGGGTCCCGAGTGTGATGTCCCCCCCGGCTACTGTCGGAAGGTGGTCAACTGTCACAGGATGGGGTCTCGGGAAGGTAGTGGGCCCATCCCTTGGGCAGAGGCAAACCCAGACAGAAGGTAAGCTGGGGTGGCCAAGACAGGTCCCGTGGAGGGGGCCGGGGGGGCTGAGTTCAAGCCCTGCGTGCAGGGCAGCCCTTGTCCCTATCCCCAGTGGCCCGGGCCCTCTTAGGGGGAATCAGGTTTTACAGGAACCAATTAAGCCCTGCTTCCCTGGGCCACTCTGGCTCCTGCTGCCAGGTCCTGTTGGTGGTCTGCCCCTCCAAAGCTCAGGCTCTGGAAAGTTCTGAACCTCTCCACAGGCATCAAAGCAGATAATTGTCCCTAAACCCCACTGCCTGGCCTGCCTTTGATTAGCTAGGGCCCTGAAATCCTAGGCTGCTGGGAGGGGCCTTAATGAGGCAGCTTGAGGGGCCCCAGGCTTGGGCGTCCTTCGGCCGCCTCTCCCGCTCTCCGGCCCTCTTGGGGCTTCTGCTTGGAAGTGGAGCTCCAGGGAGGCCTCCTGGGCAGAGCAGGCTGCCCACTGCCCCCGCTGCCAGGAGCCCTTGGCTGCTTCAGCCTTCCTCGCTCCATCTGCAGCATGGGAACAACCAGGGTCCCTCCCCACAGGGCCACAGTGCGGATGACACAGGGCCTGGGGGAAAGTGCTAGTAGTGGGAGCTGCTTTGGCTGGTTTTGTTACTATCTGCTCAGGAGCTGCTGGTCCAGGCCTCTGGGGAACCAGTTGGCTGTGGGAAGTGGGAGAGAGCAGGGTGCTAGGAACAGTGCAGGGCCCCACATGCTCCCATCGGGGCACAAGACAGGAGTTTTGGCCAGTTCCACCCCCATCCCCACTCCGTGTTCAGGGCCTCTGTAAGGGGCCCTTACCTTCCCAAGCTCTTGGCTGGCCTCCCCATGGCTCCAGGGCTGGGTGTCAGGGGAGATGCAGGTGGGGCTGGTTCCACCGGGCTGGGGAGCTGTGTATCTGCAGGCCACTTCGCCTCCAGAGGGGGGAGAGGGTGCGAGGAGAGCAGTAAGGAAGATCTCCGCAGAGCTGGGAGGACTTCGGGCACTGCCTGTTGAAGTCTTGAGTGGGGCCAGGGCCTGTGTGAGAGTGCGGCTTGAGAGCTCAGCAGCCCGGAGGCGGCGGCTGCAGCAGTGGACTCAAAACTCCCAGTTGTGGTATCTGTCACCACATATGATGGCCTCTCTGCCAGGCCCTCCCAGAGGGAATTTCTGGTCCTCCAGCAAGCCCCAAGGCATTATTGTCCTGTTTCCCACCTAAGTTGTAGTTTGCTACAACTTACAACACCTGGGACTCTGGTGCCCTGCTGTGGGCTCCTGGTCTCCCTGGGCTGGCCCTGGAAAGAGAGAGCAGGTTCTCCTGTGTGCTGTTGCTTCAGTCACATCCAACTCTGCACCACCCCATGGTCTATAGTCCGCCGGCTTCTCCGTCCATGGGACTCTCCAGGCAAGGATACTGGAGTGGGTTGCCATTCCCTTCTCCAGGGGCTCCTCCCAACCTAGGGATCGAATCCACGTCTGTGTCTGCTGCATTGGCAGGCAGGTTCTTTACCACTGTGGTTTTAGTCAACTGAGGACAGGAGCAGGGAGGAAGGAGGCAGAAGGGAGGTCAGGAGGGAAAGGGGATGGGGTTGACAGATGAAATGCAGTTAAACATACATTTCAGATAAACAACAAATACCTTTGTAAGCATGTTGTTCAGTTGCTAAGTCCTGTCCGACTCTTTGTGACCTCATGGACCGAGGTTTACCTGAAATTCAATTTACCTTGACAGCCCCGGATTTTTTTTTTTTTTGCTGGCCCTGGCCCCTCTAGGAGGGGAGGAGGAGTGTGGGGCAGGCGAGAGGAAGGGGAGGGGCAGAAAGGGGGAGAAGTGGGGAGCGGGTGGAAAAGCTCCCGACTCTCCCTTCTGGGCTGTGGCAGAATACAAGGAGTGCTTCTCCCTATACGACAAGCAGCAGCGGGGGAAGATCAAAGCCGCGGACCTCCTGACGGTGATGAGGTGCCTGGGGGCCAGCCCGACGCCTGGGGAGGCGTGGCGGCACCTGCAGACTCACGGGATAGGTGAGTGGGCCCGGCTGGGCCGGTTGCCACGGGAGTCTGGGTGAGCGGGTGGGCCCTGAGCCCTATACCTCTTGTCCCAGGGACGCGGGCAGGCGGGCGGGTGTGAACAGCTCAGAGGTCTGAGGGGTCAGTGTCAGCCAGACCTCTCTGGCTGGGGGTCTGGAGGCACCTGGCCAGGTGTGCTCATAGCAACAGGTGACGCCCCCTCCCAGAGGACCGGGGGATCTAGACATTTCACCACAGTTGTCACAAACCTGCAGTCCAGACAGTGCTAAATGATCCCAAGCTTGTCTTGATGGAAGTGTCCCTTTATTTAGTATGTGTCCTCTGCTTAGCCCAGCAACACCATGAAGGAGGCACTATCCTAATCCAAGTTTTACAGATAAAGATCAAGATTCAGAGCCCAGATGGTAACTTCTGAGTCCTTAAGCCAATGGTGGAATTAGATTGGAACCAGATTCTCATTTCTAACACTGATCTCCCCCAAATTTTTCAAAACAGCAAGAAAATGTAGAGGAAAACCCACCCAAAACGTTACCAAGTTATCCTCTGCTGATGTGATCATGGGTGATTTTTCATTCCTCATTTCCTCTATTTTTGACAAAGGAAACATATACTGCTTTTACAAGCAAAAACAGCTTGCTTTTTGTTGGTGGTGGCAACTTTTTTTTTTTTTTTTTTTTTAATAAAAAAAGAGGGAGGAATATCAGAAGCCAGGATGGCTGTTTGCATTGGTAGCTGGACACTCAGGAAGGAAAGAGGAAGGGATGGCCTGCAAGGAACACTTGATCAACAGCCCATCTGGACCTCCGTTGCCCCACCTCTCAGACGGGTTCCCACTCTCTGCTGGGGTTACCCCCAGGCCCCATCGGAGGGCGACTGCAGCAGCACTGGGAGCTTGTCCTGAGGCCGGGCTCAGGGTGGCCTCTGAAGGCCCCAGGCTTGGTGACAGGGGGCCCAGCCACCAAGAGCCCCTGCTTCCGTCTTCAAAGTGTGCTGGTTTTCTTTGGTTTCTGTCTCCTTCAGACAGGAAGCCGTGGGCAGGGGCAGGCACTTCCGATTTCCTGCAGCTGGAGCCCAGCCTGGGCTGAGGGCCCCAGGCATGCCTGGAGGAGGGTTGTGGGCTGGGGCGGAGGCTGCAGTGACGGGAAGGGCAAGTGAGCGAGGCTTGAGCCCCATCATCCAGCTGGCTTTGTAGGTGTGTTGCAGCGACTGTCAAAGGGGCAGGATAGACATGGGTAGACATGTTGGTGCACTTCCTCCAGTTCAGGGCACGAGAGAAGCATCCAGAAGGGGTAGAGGAAGCGGTGTGTCCTCCTGGTCTTGTCACTGCTCTGAGTTGACTATGCTCTGAGCTTCTGTCTCTTTAGTGGGCAAAATGAGATATCCAGGCACTGAGGGTTGTTGGGAAGATTAAATGAGGCATGTCCATGGTGGGAACTCAGCAAGACAGGCTGCAGCCTCTTCCCCAGGAACACAGCCACCATCACAGTGCTTCCTGAATTAGGTGGCTCTTGAGCTGGCCTTGAAGGCTTGGGCAGGAGGCCAGCTGACATCCCCAAGAGAAGCCTTTTCCTCCTTGCTCACTCGGCTGTTTGGGGCTTTCCTAGACAGAAGTGGAGAGCTGGATTTCTCTACTTTCCTGACCATCATGCATATGCAAACAAAGCAAGAGGACCCAAAAAAGGAAATTCTTTTGGCCATGTTGATGGCCGACAAGGAGAAGAAAGGCTACATCATGGCATCTGAACTGCGGTCAAGACTCATGCAACTGGGGGAGAAGCTCACCCCCAAAGAAGGTAATGGCCTGGGGCCCTATTTCCCAACAGTGGGAGGTGACCAAGGAGTTGGGGGGACACCTAAGTCCAAATCATGCCACGTGGGTTATGTAGACATCGCATTTGATGGCATTTGAATGTTGGGACTAGATGCTAAGCTTGGTGAACTCTGGCCTGGAACCTGGAAAACAACTAGGGAACTGTGAGTGGCAGAAGTTAGCCAGGGTGAAGGGACAGTAGGGAAACCCACTTAGGATCTACTTGGGCATTACTCTATGTTTTAAACTTTCACTGTGGGCCTTCATTTAGTGACTATTGACACCTCTAGGATCACTAGTGTCCCCCTCATACCGATGAAAGAAACAGGTGCAGTGCGTGGCCTGTGACGAGCAGAGCTAGGAGCTGGCTACAGGGCTCTTAAGACACTGGGACCCCCACCCCCCAACCTTGCTCAAGCTCTCTCCTCTCACCACAGCTGTCTTCTGAAGTTGCTGCTGCTGCCAAGTTTCTACATTGAGATGTTACTTTGCTCCCTTTTTTCATGAGTCAGGCAGCTTTGAGCTCTTCCAGAAGGAACGTCCTGTCTACCTTCCCTTTCTTCCTGCCTCAGAGCCAGATGAGGGGCTTGGGCCTTCCGGGAAAGCCTGATGTTCATAGTGAGGGTGACCCTGATGCTGAGCCCTTTGCAGATGTCCTCCCAGCCGGCTGACAGGCCCGAGTCCAGCCACAGCAGCCATGCCAGGCTGCCACCAGAGTCCACACCCACCAACCCCCGAGGCTGCAATTTCTAGGTAGGCCGCTGGACTCACCTGTGATTGGGGCAGGAAGACACAGTGGGTGGAGGAAAAAGGCTCACTCCATTAATGACGGGCCTTTAGCCTTTGGTAAAATCACAACAGACTTGAATCCCGGCTCCCCCTCATTCTGGGGGAACTCAGGTGAGTTTCTCACCCTCTCTCACCCTCCTCAGTCCTTGTTGGGAAGTGAGGTTACAACAGGCAATCCCTCTCAGGACCCTGCAAGAGCGAACCTTCTGTAAAGCAGCCTGCCGCGATGTCATCTGCAGTCACAAGGCACAGTGCAAAGCAAGTAAAAATAGCGCTGGAGAAGGCAGATGGCGCTTCCCCCGCTCCTCCAGGCTGGTGGCCATCACCATCCCATCTTTCACTGTAGCTGTTTCAACGTGAACAGGGAATCACAGGCTGTGCATCCCTCCTGGGCTCCGAGGACACTACTCGGCCTTTTACAGATCAGGTGGAGTGTTAGCAGAGAGGCCAGCGGAGGCCTTCGTTCTTGCGGTTAATGATCTGCCTAAAACAATACCATGGTCCCCAAACTCAAACCTCTCTCTCATTTGTTTAACCAGTAAAGAAACATTTCAAAAAACTGGCAGTGTCTGCCAGAGACTGATGTCCTTTTCCTCTGGCTATGGGAGATAGGAAAGGTGACTCCTTTACCTTCAGTGATAGAAAGAAAAGTTGGTTTACTGCAGAAGCATCCTTGGAGCAGCTGAGATGGCTGTGAGGGAGGCCTCTTTTGCAAACTGGTTCCCTGTGCTGTTCTAACCAGAAGGCACCATCAGACTCCAGCTGCCCCTCTTCTGGACAGCTGGAGGCTGCAGTGATTGGTACTGGACCTGTCCATTGGGACAGTTTTAACCAAGTGGTTGATGGGTAGAAGCTTCTCCATGAAATAAATTACAGGCTCAATGTTCTAAAAATACTCAGAAGTACTATCAGCTTAAGCACAGTGCATAGCAATTATAATTTTGAGGAGGATGCTTAAGCAGCAAGTCACAGGTGATACTTTCTCACTGTCCAGAGTTGTATTGGGGCTGTCTGGGGCTGGCAGAGTTGACATAGAGTGAGAGAATTTTTTAAGAGGGTGAGGCGGGTCCTGAGAAGCCACCATTGAGAAGTGTCAACTGAACTGGCTCTTCTTGTCAACTCCTGGGACAAGCTTGTATTTTATCCCAGGAATCCAGAACCAGCAAATGTAGGTTTCTTTCTTTTTCTGAGCAATATTAGAGAACAATGGCAGTTTTTGTAGGCTTTGAGCTTAGACACAGTTGAATTTATTTTCTCTTGTACTATCCCACCTCCTAAACACTTTCAGAGAGGTGATAGTGGCAGATACCATTTGTCACCAAGCCCCCTCTTGGGGTGGGGGGCTGTCAGGCCATAGTCTGGGCTAGGGGGCCCAGGATGGAGCTGCAGGGGTGTCTGTTATGGAGGGTGTCTGAGAGGGTAGGCGGTAGAAGGTAAAATCCATGCCAACGCTTTCTGGAAGTACTGGCACAGGAGCCAGATATTTTCTGAAGGAAAAAAAAAAGTACAAGGTGGTTTCACTGACTGAATCCTTACCAGTACTCCCCCTATCCTGGCCCCTGCAGAAAGCCTGATGAACTCAGAATTGATTCCATGGTCTCCAACTGGGAGGGAGTGGGTTGTCCTTCTCTGTTCACTGGATTACTTCCTCACCTATGGAAGCAGTCAGCTGGAGGCTCAGGGGAGACCTCGGGAGGCTCAACCCCCAACTGGATGCCTTATCATGTGACACTGAAGCCAAACTGATAAATTACTGTGATTTATTGCAGTGGAGGATCTCTTCAGGGAAGCAGGTATCGAACCGAATGGCAAAGTGAAGTATGAGGAGCTCATCCAGAAGATCACCACTCCTGTGCAGGACGACTGAACGAGGAGGCAAGAGAGCCTCCCCCGGGCCTGAACACTCAGACTGATGGGTTTTTGAAAAGAAGAGTGTTCCTTTCACTTGCAGGAGATGGCCAGCACAGCAAGATGACAGACCTAACCACAGCAAGAGGACAACAAGGAAACAAAATGATTCCAGCTATGGGATTAGCATGTCTTTAATAAAATTTTTTACTGTTTTAACAACTACCATTAGTCTAGCCCTTTACAGCCTGTGGTTTAGAGATGGGCCAGGGGTCTAGTCCTGACACTGCCATTTCCAAGACAGGTGATTTTGGGCAAATCATTTCACCCCTCAAAGCCTTAGGATCCTCATTAAAGTGGATTCTTGCTTCTTACCTCACGGAGCCTGTTGAGAATGAGCTTTGTCTTTGCAAAGTGTAGAACACTGTGTGATCCTGGGTTGCCATGATTGTGCTTCTCCTAAAAAGGGCAATTTGCAGGAAGACTAATATTCTGTATTTGGGTGCTGGAACCATCTTCCACATTCCCAAGATAAAGCTAGCTGAGAAACAGCAACAAGCAGAGAGCTCAGACAAACTATGGCAACATTTCTTGCAGCACCATGGGGTCATGTATAAACTCACATTCCCAATGCACACTAATGTAATCCTGGATATTCATTCATAGCAGAATATACAAGAGGTTAGAACAGGCAGCATGAGCTAAACGTTGGGAAGAAGGATCTGACTACACCCCAGACCAAAGGAAACCGGGTGTGACGAGCTGCATGCACTGCGGCCTTGCAGAGCTTGAGACTTCTCATGATGCTTCTGTCAGAATTTTGAGTTCTTCCCTGGCCCATTATCAGAGAGGGTCATGGGACTAGGATGGGTTTAATTAAGTGGGTCAAACTGATGATGGCTTCACACTGTTTCCTCAGGACTAGCGCAAAGTAGCAAGGTGATGGAACAGACCACAGCCGTGACACAGCAAGAGCCCTGCAAAAATGTTCTAGGGGTTCTTACTGGTCCTGCTGGGGGCTTTTCTAGCATAAGTGGCTTTTTAAGTTAGTTACGTGGCTGGGAGGTGCCAGGCTGGTACTGCCTGTGTACTCATCAAAGTTTTGGATCCCTTGCTAGAGTCAGCACAGGCCTGAAAAGGGCTGGAGTCACACATCAGCATGTTGAGGGGGGAGCCGGGCGCAGAACTCAAAGTACAGAGATTTTCATCCTTATATGTATCAAAATTGGGCTCTCTGGGCTGTGGCTTTTTCTAATGGTGCCTTAGTAGCGAAAGCATAAGAAAACCAAATTAAGAGGGAGGTGTGTCTCTGGGGAGGTTTACACAGGACACAAGTTTGAGGCCGACGCACAAGGGAAACTTCAGGTGAGAAAGCAGTCACAGTCGGTTTAACTATCTCAGTAAGGATGTGTGGCTTCAAACCAAATGGAGGTCCAGAGAAAGGAGAGTCACTTTTGTTTCCCCAACAGTGTAACTGCCCATTAAATGATCAGGAATTCCTAGGAGCTGGAGAGAAGGGTTATATGGGGGCAGACAGAGGTGAACTTGTGATTGTCCAGCTGGGGGTCTTAGGTTCATACAAGGGCAGATCCAGGTTTTGTGGGATCTGAGGGTTGTATGATTCGGCAGCCTTCCAGAATAATACAAGAGAAATACAGAGTTACTCTGGGCTGCTCCCAGGACCCTGGAAGAGGTCAGAGCAGGTGAGGGGTTCTCATGCTTAAACTTCATTACCTTCATGGTAAATCCCTCTGAGGCTGGCTAGATGCTGGCACGCCACGGAGAACTGCTGTATTTCTCTTTCAGGCGAGGCTCAAGGGCCAAGCTCCACATCCACCGTTAACCCCTCATGGGCATGAGGAAGTTAGTCCTGCATAGCCAACCTGGAATATCAAGGGTCAGGCAGTAGATGCCTGGGATTTAGATGGACAGGAAAAGGAGTTTCTGGGCTATAACAGTAAATGAGGGTCCAGTGCCTCAAAGCTTGGCCTTTACATGCTACTGGGTGGTACTCATATAGCTTCCAGGCAAGTTTTATGAATCTCATTTGTCTAACAGGAATCTGAAGTATAGCTTGCCAAAGACACCTGAGTGGTGTGTAGTGGCCATTTGAACCTGGGGCTCATGTCCACTGACTCCGTGTTTTAAGGGTGTTCAGTGGGTAGGATTCCAAGATCCTGGGATGTGTTCTAATTTAAGAATACACCCCAGATTAGGCTCTGACAAGGATCCCAGGCCTGGGTTTCATGCTCATTCCTGAAACTGGTTTACCCAGTGCCTAGTATGGTTGCAAAAAAGGCCACAGTGTTCTTAACAGTCAAATTGCAAATTAATTAAACAGATTTAAAACTAAACCGATGCTGTGGTTCATTACAAAGCTGGCCATATTTCACTAAGAAAGGGGAATGACAGCTGTATATTCATTACTTACCTCAAAGCATGTTGCAAGAGAATAAGTTACTTGTCATGCTTTGAAATCTCTGCATCAAAGGGGCTCTGGAAGCACAGAGCATTGTCACTTTTTCTCATAGGGACTGTCCCCTTGTATACCCAGCAGTGTACTTTACAGAAGACAAATTAACTGAAGGTTTTTCTTTTATTACATCTAAAGAGCTCTACATAAACAGGTAACATCCAATAGGTAAACAATTTTTTTTTTTCCAATGCATGTAATAAATATTTTCACTTGGTACTTTTATACAAACTGACATTGGTCTACTATACATTTTTAAAAGCCATTTTACTGGTTTGGCATGCGGTATGGAAATTCTAAGAGAGAAAGTTTTAAGGCAATGAATCACAGATTTAAGTTCATGGAATTTATGGTAACTTTTATATCTGTTTATATACATTTTTCCCCTTTGTTAATTAAACAATTAACAGCAGCACACTCTGGAACCACCAGCTAGTCTCCCTCCCTCTTTCTGAAATCTAAGCTTTGTGTTTTCTTTTAATTAAAAAAACAGAATTCAACATGTATTGAAAAAACAAAATTCTTACTAAAATCTTACTAAAATAATTTCAAATGTGCTTTAAAGTCCTAAAGATCTTGAAGTGTTTTATGTGTTTAAAATTGTTTAAAAACAATGTTCTTTCTACAATTAGTAATTTAAAATTGGGATATACTTCCATTCAGTTTCAGACATTTGACTCAAAGAAATATCTGCCAAGAAATCACATTTCTCAGAAGCTTAAGTATATCTTTTCTAAGTCAGTAATAAAGAATTGTGATGATGTCTAAATTAACAGGAGAAGAAAAATTTTAATGCTCAAAATAAATTAGTCAACCAAGCGTGGCATGGTTAAGGTCCAGATAGTTTTTAAAAACGTGTTCAATAATGCCCACAAAGTAATTAAAAGCCACTTCAACCCTGCTAGTCAAACAGCTATTATACTAAAGGTGCGTGTGCGTATACACATACACACCCCACAGTTCTGTACAGAAACACAAACATATGCACACACCTATTATGAATGACCAAGGCAAGGGGGATGGTGGTAACTTGACTAAAGATTCTGAGAATCGTCATTTGTCCACAGACAGCACGTCAGTGTTAGCACTGTGCTGGGGTAGCGGGTGGGTGGGGGGGGTAGTGATAGTTGGCTAGGGAAAAAAGAAACAACTGTGCTTAAAAAACAAAACAAAACTTAGAAGATAAAGATGCAGCGCATTACCCCACTAATAATTACTACGGATCATAAAAGTCTGATTGATTAACATCGGCCATGAACCAACAGAGTAATAGCTACTACTACTACTGCAACATTTTAGAAAGTTAACAACTGAAGGGAACAAACTCCTTACAGTGGAATGAACTAAAATAAAAAGACAACTGAATGGTTAGTTGCTCCTGTGGAGACATGACCAAAGCTACTAGACAGACATTTATTTCTCCCTGTTACCTGTTCTTCCCTTAGGTTGGTATAATGCAAGACACTGAGGGAAAATAACTCTCTCCAAAACTGGGCTGAAGAAAGTAGAGGGACGGGTTTTCAACTGGATCATTCAAAGAGTTCGTAATTCAGCATCATACACAAAGTTATTGATCAGAATTCTGAGACCACTAACAATGACAAAAAAAGAAAAAAACAAAACTATTCATTTTATCTTAGGTAGCTGAATTAATAGAAACATTTCCTATTACAATGTGAAATAAGAAGCAACTCCCTACAATTTAAGTAGTTTCTATCCCAATCTGAATTAGACACAAATTATAATACTATTAGATATTAGCCTAAGTTAACATGGCAATGAGAGTTCTAAAGTGTTTACTCACCATAACACCAGATTCATTTAAAAACTTAACTATTTCCTGTTTTAACTGACAATGAAATTTTTTTTATTGCAAGTTGTTTAGTGACTATAACTCAGCCATGTATGTGTGGAATACACATGCGTAGGGAAGACTATATAACTCACTTGTTACTCACACACACTTGTCTATAAATACATATATACACACACACATATACATATCAATACCAACTTGTTTTTCAAAATTCAAGTCAACAATTTGGTGGCAGAGAGATGCTGTAAAAACAGGTATTTTTAGACGCCACACAGTCATGTGAGCCATTAATTTTATCATACAATTGAAGACATAGCCATCTTGAATTCTAACTGGATTAAAGTAGGTCAATTTGTTACCACTGCAAGGTTTAAAATATGACAATTTTATACACAAAGGTGGTCCTTCATCAACTCTGAGAACAACTCTGAGAACATTAACAGTTGTGATATAAAAATCCAGTTTGGAAAACTGGTAATCATTATGCCCCTTCTTATCTTTTCTGTTAAATCTGCTAAACCTTTCAATCAGATAAAAAATATTTTCGACACCTTCAGATATTACCTGAAGAACGTTAATACCTTCTCTGACGAGGATTTTGGAACACAAGTAGAATCACTTTTTCCTTCCCTCCAACCCTCACTCATTTCCTGAAAAACAGTTTTCAATATATTTACATGTTCCATTATTATAAGGATAGATCAGACTGATCCATGAATTCTTAAAAAAATCTGACTTTCCTATGTCATGCTTGTATTTAAAAAGTGAAGAAAAAAAATAAACAAGATTACTAGGCTAAAAATAAGTACAGTCAGAACCAGAGAATGAAAATGAATAAGGATTAAGCCCATTTTGAATTTCAATTAGTTATCAGATGATAGATTTCTACAGACGAACATGTATGGTGCACTCTATTTTCTGAAGAGAATTTACTTGTAAGGATAATTGACTGTCTGTCTTTCTTTTTTGAGGTGATGTAGCCTTACCTCTGTCAGCTGCACATGATACCCAACAGGGCTTTCTATGCTATTTTTACTTCCTACTTTGGTATGACCATCTTACAGGAAAATTTGTTACCCTGTGGCCAAAATAGCAGGTGTTCACAGATTTGGTTTAAATACATAATACTGGCAATCCAAATTTAGAATAAAGAACTAGACTAAGCCTACTCCTTACCCAGATAGCTTTACTCCAATCTCTGAAACATATTCTCAGGGGGCATCTAGCAATTAAGAGAGAATATGTGATGGAGAACATGCAATTGGGACAGTTGATAAAGATGCTCATATGTGAATTCAAGACCTTCAAAGCACTTTGAAAGAAGCAGGCAACTGGTTTATCAACTGAATGCAAACTCGGGAGAAGGAACAGTAATGACAGAAAAATACACACAGACACACACACTGAACACACACCTACAAGCTATGTCCTGAAAATACACAGGGAATGCAGAGGGACAGATGAGATTTATAACTTAAGGCTGAATAAAATATGCACACACACAAACAAAATCCAAGTCTGTCATTTTTAGAAAATGGAAATTAAAACTATCCCCCCCCGGCCCCCTCCCCACAACAAAGAAAAGCCCACAATTGAAAACTTCATACATGCAATTCCTTTTCTGTTATTGCAAATAAAATAATGCCATTGAAGTAAAATAAAACCAAAACCATAGGACAAACGATGAAAAAAAAAAATCTTCAGAATCCAGAAAAAATGAACCGAAGGTGGTTTGTGGGTACTTGTTTTTTTTTTCTTTTTTTTCTTTTCTTTCCTTTTTTTTGTTTTTTTTACAAGTGTTTTTTTTCAGACAGGCAGTCTTAGATTTATATACAAAAGTAAAACTGAAAATATAGTTTTGTTCTCTGTACATTTCTTTTTTAATTTTTTCCCTAAAAAAAGGAAAAAAAACACGCTTGTGTACTTTTCTAAACAGAATAAGGTAAAACATAGCACAAAGTTCTCTTCTTTCTGCCAAGTTCCTTTAATCTGGGGTGGGAATGGGAGCAGCAGGGGCATGGGGATCAGTCCAATGAAATAATGTCTGGTATGATGCCAAAGATGGATGCTGTGTCCGTGCTGCTCCTGTTTGCGACGGGGTGGCCATGGCTCTCCCTTAGGCTGTTGGAGGACACGAGGCTGCTATTACTGCCGCTACTGCTCCCGTTGGTGGTCGGCAGGGAAGAACTGCCTCCTGCACTTAACTGATCGAGAAACATCTGTGAGGAGGTATATGGAAAAAACCGAGACGAGTGCAAGAGGTCTTGATCATCTGAAACTGCTGCTGCTGCAGCGGCAAGGAGGGAGGTGTTATAATGCTGGGGAGGAGAAAAAAGACAGAAAATAAAGTTAATTATAGTCATAAATTAATAAACTCTCTTCTCAGCAGAACAAAGTCCTAAATTTAACATATTCTAAGTACCTGGTGTTTCTGAAATATTCAGTAAAACATTTTGCAAAATTAAATGGTGTTATATAATGATCACATCATTGACCTTTTTTATTTTAATTTTTATTAGCACAACATTGAGACATTTTTGTATCTGAAACTGGGGGTGGGGATCAAAATACTGTTTTCTGTTTTAATCTGTACTGCAAGCAATTCTCATAATGCTATTTCTGAAGAGGCATATGCAGGAAAGAGGACAGGCTACTTCCCCTTCTGGAGATACTTGGCCAAGAAATTTGTCAGTCAATATGACCCACTGCCCTGTTTCTTTATAAAATAGTACTGGGAACCAGACACTGTACTTAATATATTCAGGCACAGTTGAAACAAAGGGACTTTAATTTAAAATTTTAAAACCTTAAAAATAACAAGTATAACAACTCTGAATTTTCTAAAGGAATTTATGTTCTTTCTCTTGACTACATCTTATACTTTTAAGTATTTTAATGTAGAATTAAAAGAACAGTATTTGTTTCATATAACATACCTGATTGTCTCCTGATAAGAAAGGAAAGAAATCTAATCCTGCAGAAGAAAAAATCATTTTAGTTGGGGGGAAAAAAAAGCCTCCCAAATACCCCAACACTACAAAAATAAAGACAATATCTTAAAAGCTAATTCTAAATTCATTTAGCATTTTATTTAAACATGAAGAGTTCAGCTGAATATTTTAAGATCCCTCCCATCTGTAGATTACAAAGCCTGGAGTCCAAGTTTCAGCAATGGTGTGCACTCCCAGTGACGCCATATGTGGGACTTGGGCCACTGCTGCTCCATTCAAATCCAAACACCAATCCCTTAAACTGACTGAGTACTTTTCACCAAACGCTCTTACTGACTCCCGTAAAGTTACCTTTCAATCTAACCTACTCCACACAAGCACCTCATAAGGTATGTAATTATATTTGGTCTCATTTTGCAGATGAGAAAGTTTGAAGTTAAAAGACGTTAAGCAAGTTGTAAGAGATTTTCTTCCTCAAATTCCTTCACTTCCCACTGCCTGTACTGGATTCTAACTCAGAGACTCAAGTGACACGAGGCGGGGGAAGAGATCCGAGGGAGTGTCTCTGCAGGCATGGAGGACCAGCTCTCATCCCTGGCTGCAGGGGAGTCACTGTAAACTGGCCCCTTCCAGTTCACATTCTTGTCCACAAGGCCCAGTGTGTAATGTGATGAAGAACAAGTAAACCAACATGAATAAAAAAATCCCTCATTATGATATCTAAACTTGAAGAAAAGTGTAACACACAGATGTAGACAAAAATATGACAACACAAATACTTTGGGGATACCTCCAAAGTATGGCAGGTATCCCACTCCATTATTCTTGCCTGGAAAACCCCATGGACAGAGGAGCCTGGCAGGCTATAGTCCACGAGGTCACAGGAGTCAGACTTGACATAGTGACTAAACCACCACCACTACCACTGTCTACACTAGAACAGATTATACCATAAGGATCTGAAAATGTATAGAACTCTGGTTCTTGATAGTGAGCTTGGCAACAGGCAGTAAGAAACAGGGTTACAGTGACTAATAGAGTAGCTACTAACCACCTGATATGGCTACTTAAACTTACTAAGATTAAATAAAATGAAAAACTCAGTTCTTTAGCCACACTAGCCACATTTAAATGCTCAGTAACCACATGTAGCTAGCAGCTACTGTACTGGCCAGATTACATTTCCCTAGTTGCAGAAAGTTCTATTGGACAGAGCTGAAACAGGGTTTTCACAACATCCACTAAGAATCCACTCAAATATCTCAGCTCCCAAGAATCCTTGCCAGTGACCCTGAATTTTACTGTAGACAAGGGATGGAGAGAAACTTCCACTTTGTGCTTTTGTATTGTATTTTCTACAGTGAGCATATATGGCTTTTTGTAATTTTTTTTTTTTTGGCTTTTTGTAATTTAAAAAGTGTTCTTAGATTATATGGCTAACATACAAATTATGAAATTACAAAGATACATGACAACAACAATTCTTTTTGATAATATAAACAACTATTATGAACTCAAAACACATTGTAGAAATGATTATAATGACATTTCAAATTACTTTCAAAAAGAAGAAACCGGGTTCACCAGAACAAAAATTAAAACTTTCCAATGTTTCAATTCTGCACTGTCTAAAAGATAATACAACATAGCTACCCACAATGCCTGCTGCATTATAACCAGATTCAGGGAACAAAAAATAATTTTCATAAACATAAAAATTCAAAGCAACATAAGCAACATAGTGGAAATCATTCAAAACCCACTTGCAAACTACTACTTTGAAGTACAAAAAACCTAAAGATCATTCCTGTATTTTACCACTGGTAGTAAAACACTGGCTATTGATGAAGGTACTAACAGGAAACTGAGTCTGTATTTATTTATGACCAGAGTATATATTTCCCCCAACTTCCTAGATTCCAACCTCCTCTATCCCTGATCTTTCTATCTTTCTTAAACTTGCCCAGAAGAAGACTATATAGATCAAAGGCATTTATAATGCTATATGACAACACAGAAGAATGGGTAACTCACCTTGTAAGTCATAAGGCATGGGTGTCATATGGAAAGGATGTCTGTAGTCTTGGATGAGGGATGTGTTAATATAGCTTGTGTCTACAGCAGGGAGGCTTGGGGTGCGGGACACTGGAGATGCTTGATGTGGAAGACTCAGTATGCTAGAAGAAAAAAAGGTTTGCAAAATTTTCATGAGTCAGTTGAACTTAAGTTTAATAAAAGGGCAGAATCTCACAATGAGTCCTAGTTTTTGTGCTGAAAATAAAAACAAAAGCAAAGCAATATATAATTTAGACTACCATGATTATTAGGAAATAATTTGTACACTTAATAGCATCTTTCAGAGGCTATAAGGAAAAGAGATGGATGCAATGGTATCCAACATTCATAAATCACATGCTGTCTTTGGAACATCATCTACACTCTTTTATAATGGCAGGCCGAAGGCATAGTTGAGCCACTTCAATGAAATGTAAGTGAAAAGTACAGCAGACAAAATTCTGAAACGTTTAAAAAATAAGCACTAGGGTGTTGGCAAGTAAAAAGATAGGTAAATCCTTGCAAAGAAAACACATCTAACAAGACTAAGGGAATGAAGCAATCTGAGCAGTGAAGCGTTAAAAGCTGGCCCTCAGACTTGTAAGATTTATGAGAATAAAAACTAGGTACTGTTTATCTTGGAATACCTAATGCCCAGCACAGTCAGGAGGAACGCTGTTTGCATAAAAAGCCTGCTGAATGAACAAAGGCAGCAAGACAAGGAGTAGAGATCCTCCAAAATGAACAGGTGATGGAGCGTTTTTAAAGGGAGGACAGTATAAATGGAAAAAGAAAAAAGAACAAAGAGAAAGATGCTGGGAGAATAGAGGGAAATGTTTAAGTAGCTGAGTAGCTAAATACTTTTTTTCTTCACCAAAAATTAATGAAAAGCAAAAAGGAGGAAGTAATAAAGGGGAAAAAAAAAGGCAGAATTAAAATGATTTTGAAAAGAAAAAGAATTCTCATAGTCCTGAGTGAAATCATAAGGGCCATATGCTATCCCAAACATATAAGAGGCCAACAGATATGTTATAGAAAATAGAGAGACAGACAGAGGCTGTCTTTTGCATTTAAAAGTTTGCGTAAGTGTTGGGGGTATGGTGATGCAATTTCAATGGTAGAGAATATCTCTAAAGATGCCAAGCAAGGCTGGATTTCCAGGAACAGTGTTCTAGTTATGATATGCTACCTTGTTTTTATGAATGGGATATGAAGTATAAAATATACTCTCATCCACCTCATAAAATTGTTTTGTCTAATGGAAACTTAATTAAACTTCTTACATCTACAGAAAGTACCATTTTCCATTAGCTATTTCCTCTGACAATACTCAAGGGATTATAAAGGATTACAAGAGACAAAAGCAGTTGAAACACTAGTCTTTGAAAAACATCTTGGTATACCAAAGAGCAAAGGAAATTTCTGGAGGAATACTAAACACTCAGTGGCTGAAGACGGCAAAATATTTTACATTTACTAATGTTTGCCTCTTTCTACTTCTTGGCTGGCTCTTTCTCTTCCAATTTTGTGATAATATTCTAAAATGATTTCCACCTTCACACTGCACAATAACAAATCCAGTATGTTGGGTTTAGGTTTCTATTTATAGGCTAGTCATTACTGAAAAATGATCACTGATATTGAATATGGTGTTATCCTTCTAAAAAAAAAAATCATAAACTTTCAGGTTGCTTGTTTTTAAATCTGAAAATAGAGAAAGGTTTGGCATTTGCAAATACTCTATCTGGGTTCAATTAGTCACTGGGAAGCTCAAGAAGTAGTTAATGCATCTAATGTAATTTCCCAAACACAATAAATAAGCTATTTTTGGAGAAACAGCACAGCAAATATTCAAAGAAGAAATATTAGATTTCTAAACACCCAAAATATTTCCTTTAAGGAAAAATGTTTACATATATATGACTACTATCAATATCCTAAAGAG